TTAAGAAGTTTTTCCCTTTTGATGCAGGTTGAAGTTCCTGTGTAAGGCAAACACCTTGTTGTTGTCTCTCCTGGTCATTCTGAGCAGGTTGCTCTCAAGTTAGGTAACGGCAATTCGGCTACCAGCCACTGGATTTCTCTACAGAGAGATATGAATTCTTTGGCAGAACAAACCAAAATTGCTCTTCATTGAAACACACAAGAGAAGGTTTCTCTCTTTCCATTGCAAACTAACTGTTTTAACTGGAGTTGCATTCCCTGTTTTTGTTCAGGATGTCCTGTGCATATCTGGACAATTTTCTGAATTCTTATTTGCCCCAAAATTTTCAGAGTGTCTCTCAGTTGCTGAGAACAACCCTGATTGATTGCAGATATAATGATGACAGGCCTGGGAAATCTCTCTAAGAGTTTTACGGCTCAGACTTAGGACTCAAACCAGGTGGTCTATGACAATGAATAGCAAAACACCTCACATTGCAGTTTTTCTTGGGAACAAAACAATGTTTCTCCTTCGGACCACCACGAAGGAAACAAAAAATGGTACATGATTGCTGCTCATGTTCAGTTTTTCAGAGAATTTTGGGTTGTTTGTTGGAAAATAGCTGAGGACGTTATTATGTTATGCATATTAGCAAATGTCTGAATTTTACATATTTGTGATTATGTACTAAAACTGACATATTAATTTTTATTCTGATGCAAAATGAAGCTACAGTTGAATAATGATTGTAGATCAATTGCAAAAAATTGGGATTTAAAGTGCATTTACAATCAGATAAATGGTCAGATGAGTTTATAATTCTTTTAAAGAACCATTTTCTTTATTAATGTAAGATCTTAAAAGATCTTAAAGATTTCGTTTAGTCTGTTATTAACTTTTTTACTTTTAGAAAAAAAGCCTGTTTTAAAAAATTTTAATTTCTAAATTTCTTTTCTTTTTTACACATTATACACTTTTATTCATGATTACCACCTGTCATCATTTTCATTTTGTATTACAATATCTGTCACAAACCAACATTATTGTCAATTTATATTCAACATTGTAAAAGTGTATTGTTCATCAGTGCATGTTAATCATTTAAAAACTCATTTTATTTCAACTTCCTAGCACCATTTTGCTATAAATATTATTCTATATCACACATGTCATAAATAAATAGGTTTAGACAAAATTTCTTAATTTTATTGTGTACACCATTGTCTTCATTAAAAATTAAAATTCTATAATCATGATAAAACTTTGCAGCCACATATAGATTATAAGCCTCTACATATTTCTTTCTGTGAAAAAAATATGTTTGAACAATAACTTACTTTTTCTAAAAGTTTTGATATTTTCAATCTATGTCATATTAACTGGGAAAAAAAAAATAAATACACAGAAACAAATGATGCAGATTTTAAAGTTGAAATTCTTTTTGAGTTCAGTTTTAATATTGCTCAATCTTAAAGATTGCTTTATGAGTTATCAACAGAAGTGCTTTAAAATACTTGTATGATTTTTGCAAAAGTAATTTAGCTTAATGGTAAACTCTTTTTTGAGTTATTAAACTGCAATATAAGTTTTTAGATTAAAAATTTTTAATTTATAAATTTACTACATCCTAAAAAAATTTAAGAAATTATTAGTAGCATTTGTTAATTTGTAAAATTTCAGTTCTTTCAATTATTCAAGTTCTTTACCAATGTTTTCTCAAATTTCACTTATTACATTTATTAACTTATAAATAATTCTATGCAATCAGACGAACTAAATTTTGAATAATTTTTTTTTCTTTGGAAAATCAGTTGATGTTGATTATGTTTGCCAAATTCAGCTTTCTTAATGCAGAATCAAAACATGTAAATGGAAATAAACTGAAGAAAAAATTAAAAGGGTCAACTATTTTCTGGAGCAGATATATTAAAAGATAAGGCCAGTGCCAGAGCATGTGCAACCATAGATTGCACCAGGCAGGAAAATTTTTATAGTTCAGAAAGGAACCTTGCAGCAGAATTTTGAAGTCGGCAAAGTTTGCACCGGGTGGCAAAATGCCTAGCTTTAGCCCTGATTATAAAGTAAACTAGAAGAGAAAAGATTGATCTTAAAGTGTCATTTCTAAAGATTGATCTTAAAGTGCCATTTCTAAGATAAACTATTTGCTCTCTATATATACAGGGTGTCCAGAATTAAAGAACCGTGTTTCAAAGCTGAAACCAGTCATCAGAAATGTTTCCTATACAGGATTAATTTATCAATTAAGAAGTTCAGTTGTCATAATGTCAAATTCTCAGTATTAATCACAATTAATTAACAATTGATATATCACAATCTGATCTTATACTTCTGCCCCCTCTCATGTCTTGCATCTATCTGCACGAACACTTAAAATAGTGCCCTCTAGTGATGAGCAGGTTTATCCAAGAAAACTGTAAAATTTTGTAGCAGACTTAATGAAGGGATGGGAATGTCTTTCAGCTAAAAAAAAAATTAGTTACAACTACTGCCAACAGAGAGCACTGTATTAACACAGCTATACTTTTACAATTTTATAAATTTTCTTACAACAAAACATAATCCACATGATGGCCATCATTTTCAGCCACCATATAAATCACAAGATGACAATGTTTCACAGTTGACTGAAGTATATTGTTATGAAATGTGCAGCCGCAGTGAGATAGCTTCCATGCAAAGCAGTTTTAGGGTTGTCATAAAATGGCAAGAGAAGACAGGGTTGCCACATTTGGTAAGAAATCGTCTGTTTGGCGACATGCTATGGCCAGATGGAGAACCATCTGGAACGAATTCTTACTGGTTTAACCCAGAATGTTTTCAAACACAAGCCAAAAGCTATATAAACCCTGCTGGTACGCTGAGAGTTAGTATCGAGTCAAGTCAGTCAGTCAGTGAGAGTCCATCGAATTAACAGTCAGTCATCGAGTGCACTGAAAGAGTCTCTTAGTGTGTTGCGGTTGGTGCATCGTCGAGAGAGTGTGTTGAGCTCCAGGAAAGACTGAACCAAGGAGTTGGGAGCTGTACTCTAGTGTATCGCGAGTTGTAGCATGGAGTCTCGAGAGTACGTGGAGTTCTGAGAACAATTGAGCAGAGTCGGGAGCTGTACTCCAGTGCTTTGCAGTGAAGCTGTCTCCACCATTATACCCTGATAACCTCGAGGTTGTGTCGCTGGTTGTGTCAGCATGTTTATAGTAGTTCTTTGACGGCTGTGTAAATGTGTTATTGGAGCTGTCTTGGATAATACTAGCCAATAAAGAAGGTTTTGATACTTCATCGAGTGCTGTTCTCGTTATTCACTCCAAATCCGCACGAACCTGTACTTACGAACGTGAAAAGAAGTAAAATAATGTAACAGTATGATAGACAATGTGAGCATGTGGTGTGAAATGCTGGCTTTACATTCAAGTAAAATTCTTGTATTTTCATGACTTATCAGATGTTTCAAATGCCCTCAAAGCCAACAATCACATGGATTGTGGTCTGGGGATTGGGGAGGCCCCACATTATGAAAGTGCCAGCTGTTGACACGTTCTTGTGTAAAATGATGTTTAGGAATATTCTTAACTCCCTCTTGTATAAAGATTGTGTGTTTAAGGCACTAACGTGCTTGCACAGCTGGACTATTTCATTATCTAATGTGATGTATATTGCTGTCCAGCGGTCGAGCATGTCACTAGATCTGTAGAACTCAACTTTTTGAAGTGTATGGGCTGAGAATAAATGATGCGGATTTTCTGATTCCCAGATCTGGCAATTGTGCATATTCACTGCCCCATCCAAATGAATATGTGCTTTGTTTGTCCAGAGGATATTCCAAGGCCATTCTGAATCAACCTCAAAGTGAGCAAGAAAGTGAAATGGGAACCCAGACTGGAGCTTCAAATTTGTGGAAACAACTGCTGCACCAGTGAAAGTTTGTAAAGATAATATTGTAGGATATTTAGTAAGATCTTATGGAGAGTTAAAAGTGGTCTATCCAACACCTCTGCTACATGCCAGATACTGGTGATTGCCATAAAGTTATGTTCTCTACCACCTGAACTGCAACTTCCTGTACTGCTTCTACAGACACAGGTTTTTTTCCCCTCTTCTAGGATGAACAGAAAATGATCTTGTTTCTTCAAATTTTATCTTCTGAAGATTTTTAACATTCACTGGACCTCTTTGAATACCCTTCAAAGTCTGAAATTTCCATAGAGCAACTACTGTGGAATTACTGTTTTCATAAAACAATTTTACTAACAAAGTACGATCTCACAAAAAGCACACTGAAAACAAAAAATCTCCATGAATATTTCCAGGTTTTGTAACAGGAGTTCCATGACAGCAATAAATATATACATTTTTACTACATGTTTTCAAAGTAAAATGAATTCTGATGACATTATATGTAACTCATTTATTTTTGCTGAAAGATATTCCCATCCTTTCATTAAGTCCACCCCAAAATTTAACAATTTTCTGATGAATGAAAATAAATATTTTCTCCAGAAACTGAATGATCCAGCTACAGTTTCTGAGAGATTTCATAAGGTTGGGGACTTTTGGTCATCATGAAATAGCAGAGACCTCGGTAGACTATGGGAACAATCTGATAGCACTCATAACTGTCACTGCACTACAGATTGTTATTCTTCTTATCCATTATGATATAAACTGTATTTTCCTTCATTATTATTTAGCTGCCAGTTATGGCAATCTGGCAGTATGGCTTATTTTATTAGGTTGAGGTAAACTTCTATAAGGCATGGCATGCTAGTATGTGTCATTTTTTTATAAAATGGTGCTTTAGCAGAGTCAAATGCAACATGTTTTAAGTAGTAAATATGAAAACATATCTACTATTATTTTGTTGATTCATTGTAAAATTAGTGCATTTTGATCAGGCAAAAATTTAGTATTAGTTGTAATAAAAATTTATGGGAAGTCAACAAGGATCACACAGGGTAGATTAATAAATATAACACATGCAATTAAATTACAATAAAAACTCTAATTACCCATAGATTAGGGCAGTCATCTTCGAAACTTCTTTTTTCATTTTCACATTTCGATTGATTATCATTATTTTGATCTAAACAATCCCAATATGCATCACGGGAACTCCAGCATTTTTTCCTTTTTTCTTTATCTGGAAATGACATCTATGACACAAAACATTGAGTTATTTTTGGGATACTTAATGACTAATTACACCTGAAATATAAGCAGAAGATGCACAATATTTTAAGTGCAAACAATTAGTAAATTCACTTTATTCTGCTTTAGATTTCAAATTAAAACATTCAATGCAAACAAGTCTACTGTCTCAATAAGAAATAATTCTCCCAAAGCTATATCATTTTTAAAAATTAAAAGCAAGCAAAAAACAACCTAGTTTTGTGCAGAATTTGAGCAAAACTATGGATTTTGCTCAGACACAGTTATAGTCTTTTTAGAAGAGGGGGGGGGGGAGACTAAAATTTCTTTTTTGCTTAAATTTTAAACAGACCATTTTGTATAATGAAATGCTTTAAGTTGGTTATTTAAAATATTAGCAGTATTTAATACTGATTTGTCATATCAAACTAGTATTTGTATTTTTTTTAGCAGTTTTAATGATAAATATGAAAGTAACATAATTTTCAAAAATATCTATATATTATAACTAATAACCTTCAATTTATTTGGTCAGGATTTCATTCATGCAAGATTTTTGCTTTAGTTGATGCAAAATTGAATTAACTTGAAATATCAAAGTCAAATATATAAATTACTGATTTTAATAACACAAATTTATTACACAGAAAAGATATGTAATGTGAATATTAATTTAAATACAGAGAGTACTTATACAATTTTATAATGATTTCAATAAAGAATTTAAAAAACACGTGTTTTGGAATAAAAATTTTTAATAACAGACTATTCTACAAAATGAGAAATATCATCTGCCACTTTTAAATTTATTCTTCTTTCAAACTGTTACAAATAAACATGCTGTGGACTGCCACTTTTCGAAAAGAAAGATTTCTATTCCGTAATTAAAAAATGTTGTGGAATGCATGGTAATAAAATTTTTAGGTTGGATCCTAGCAGAGCCCACACCCTTGCCATGATGGCACGAATGATTTTGGTTGGTGATAATTGCACCAATATTGGTAACCCTACTTTGATACACTAGATATTCCAACTGCATAAATCCATAACTAAGGGTAATGTGCAGAATCATCCATTTATATGGCGCATATCAATGTGTACATGGACAAAGTCAAAGGAGTGCATAATGCCAAGTTTGTGCAATTCTCTGATTTTTTTTAAGTGAAAATAGGTCGATGGATACCAAGTTTGTGCAATTCTTTGACTTGTTATTTTCCAAGTTGGCGTTTTGAGAAACACGCGAAGCAGTGGGTGATTCTTCACTTTCCCGGTTTGTCGCCAAGAGTGTAGGCTTTCCTAGGATTTTAGCAATTTTTATATTAAAGGCAACATTATTAATTGGAAAGGTAAAACTGTCAATCATTCCTTCTACATAGAAAGAAGACTCTAAACAAACACCTGAAAAGGTACATACTGTTTCTAACGTTGTTCAAGCTGAATCAAGTAATAAGAGAAATTCTACCGGTACAGAAATTAATCGTAAAGTCTTTAAATATATTTGCAGCAACAATAAATAAAATATTAAACAAATATTTACAACTTAATAATGACCACTATTTAGTGAAATGATACCATTTCCTATATTAAACAAGCTATTAATTGTTTAACATAATTATAATGTGTTAATTTTTTTTCTGGTCCCATTCTGGAATGAACAAAAAACATGGCTAGAAGAAATTAGCACAAAGAGGGAAAAAGTTTAAGAAATTTTAGAAAAAATGGGAAAAACTTGCTGAATTCCCATTCAGAACAGTTCAATGAAAATGATCTTCTTCAAGTAGGACAAGCATGCAAATGAAGAACATGATTAAGAATGTAAATAAAAAGAGAACATACCTTAATTGGACCCCCCATCCCCCCCCAAAAAAAATTGAGCCAGCTTTAATTATATCTTACAGTTTGCTAAGAAAATTTTGTTTAATGCTGTGCCTGACATGGAACGAAGTTCTAAAAGTTTATACCAAAATTTTGGTAAAATGTTCATCAGCTATAAAAATTGCATAAGAGAATAAATTAGTCATATTCATAATCAATATTTATTTTTTTTTGTCAAAAAATATTTTACTTATATGTTTATCCATTAAAAGAAAATCTTAACAACAGATTTTAATTAACTTTGATGATTTTATTGCTTACACATATACACATTTTCCTCCCAATTTACTCAAGCTGATGACTAAATTCTAATTATAGGTATTTTTATTACACTTGCTTAGTGTACTTTCATTGATAGCTAAATTTATCACATTAAGTTAGATCTTTGTATAATCTATGTGGAAGAATTCATAAAATTTGAGTTCAGCAAGATCTTTATTTATTCTGGAAAACAAAATAAATGCTTTAACATTATATCTGGAAAACAAAATAAATGCTCTAAGATTTAAGACTCATATAAATAATAAGACTTAATCTATTTAATCAGTGTTACATAAAAATAGAAAAAAAGAAGAAACAGGAAGATAATACCGATTCATAAAGGTGAGTTTCATAATATTGAGTTCCTAATGAAACTATCATATACACATCTTGTTGTACCTTTTGCAGTTGCAATATACAGTCAAAACCAATTAGTGCTCTTTTAACACAAAGTTATTTTAACAGGTTAGTATTGCTTCTGGGTAGAGTAGACTTAAAGGTACCCCTTGTATTATGGCAAAGTTGTTGTTTGATTTATCGCCAAGTTGTTGTTTCATTTATGGTAGCCTGAGTAGTTGAATGTTATGGAGACACTATTGTGACGTAATCGGGTGCATGATTCTGGGAAATTTTGAATCATGGGATGTTTTGTAAGCATTATTGTGGTGTATGTTAAAACCGTTTAGATGGGTTTGAAGGAAGAAAGGTTCAGATGGTCACTATGTGAAGTGTTCGATCAGAAAGAGTACCTGGTTTGAAAAAAGTCATTTGAGTATGATTGATATTTTGATTTTTACGTGGCTCTGGGTGTACGAAGCGAACTCGAAATCATGGCAAGTGAATATTTGCTTTTGGTAGTGTTTAAATGTATAACATATTTTTCCTTTTTTATGTTATTTTATTGTTTGGTTTAAAATGTATTTTATTGAGATTATGTATTTTTTGTTTGCCTATATTGTAGACTTTGGTGCTCCTTTGACTTTCCTTAAGTGAAAATATATTGATGTGTACATGGACAAAGTAAAATAGGTTTTAAGTGAAAATAGGTTGACGTGTACATGGATAGCGTTAAAAGAGTGCGCAATGCCATTTTCGTGCATTTGTAGATTTTTTAATTGAAAATGACATGATAGTGTGCTTCGATATATACATGGATAAAGTCAAGAGGAAGTGCACAATGCCATTTTTGTGCAATTCGGAGTTTTTTTTTTAAGTGAAAATAAGTCGATGTGTACATGGATACCGAGTTTGTGCAATTGTTTGTCTTGTTATTTTGGCTTTGTGTGGCTTGCTATTTTGGCTTTTTGGCGCAAAGACAAAATAACGAGTCAAAGAAATGCACAAAATCGGTATCCATGTACCGCCAAAAAACGCCAAGGGGTACCCTAAACTATACTTTTACCCTGCTTCTTTTAAGACAGCAAAATAACAAGATAGATCATATGGATTCATTGTATTGAATATCTTTAGAAAAAATGCTCTACATTAAAATTAATGAAATCATGTTTAAAGGTTACACAGGTGTGAGCACTACAGATTTTTAAAGCACAAGAACTGAATTTTTAAAGTTGACTTTTTATTTTCTTCAAAATTTATACAGTGCAGTAAAACAAGTTAAGGAAGTAAGAAATTCTGCAGACCGCGGTATTTTTTTTATTTGTTACTAGTTGATAGGGAAGAGACTTTGGTGCAATGAAAGAATCAGTAAGCATCAAAATGAATAATACTCATATAAATAATATCAGCTACTGTGTTTGTTTCCCAAACATAAAACGAACAGTAAAATTAGAAACTCAAAGGACTACTACATAAAAATAGACAGTATACGCATAATAAATGACAAAAATTATCAAAAGCAATGCAAGTTGTCTTTACTTTCGTCTGCTGCCGACTCACAGAAATAAAAAAAATTAAAGATTTATTGTTTTGTTGCCAGTTTTCTAAGATATAAAGTATAATTTTTCCCTCCGCGCATTAACGCCGTTGTAAAATTATGATTATCATTCATCACCCCTTAAGATACCATAAGAACAAAAAAACATCCAAAAGTAAAATGTGTAGTTGTTTTGTATTTTCACAGTGGATAATGAATTCATCTTATTTTCGAAGGGGCGAATCTAAGTGCAACGCTCTGGCAATATGCAAACCGATGGTGCAAAATGAAAGCACGTGGTAATGTTGTTTTGTAAATGTACTGTTTTGCTGTGAGATGGTTGTTTTGATCAGTGGGTTGTATTAAAATAAAAACGTTTACAACGAAAGTTAGCGCTGATTCATCGAATATGAAAAATTCGAAGAAAAAAGTTACGCAAAATTGTGCACCTCATGAAACAAACAAAGTGCCAAAGAAAGTAAAAGATCATTTGAAACCAATCGTGCAAAAACTTTTAAATCGTAAGATCCACAAATATTTGACTGAAATGAAAATAATTTTTCTTTGAATAGATTAAGGGTTATAAGTTTCTAAAAATTAAAAGTTAGTGGTTATCAATTTTTAGGGTCCTGTTTAAAAGTTCAGAGAATACTTTTTTTGTTATACGATTCCTAGTAAAACTGATTTAGCTAGAAAATATCACGACGAAATATACAATAATAGGATATTTTATCCATCTGTTTATCGTAAATTAGCTGTTCTATTGAAAGTGAAATATGATAGTAGCGGCATTCGTAGCATCTTCCAAAATTTAGATATTCATATGCTTTCATCAAATAACAGATTTTCCTAATAAAAGTTTTGCATAAATCTGATGTACATGTACTTGTATTGAAGTTCTTTTACTGTACTGTGTGATTTACTAATAATTTAGCCAATATCTAATAACATTTTCTCTTTAGTGCCAATATTTAAATTACATTCACAGCCTATGTTTGAAATATTTAAGTGAAATTTTTGCATTCAAAATCTAACAAGTTTGGTCTAGGGAGTATCAATCAAAAGTAAAATTTCGAGTCTTCAGTTGACATCTAGCTCATGCTAAAATGATTCTGCTTCTGTATGAAAAAAATTATGCCTTTTCATTTTTAGAGTTTATGTGTAAAATATATAAGGGAGCCAGTTTCACTTAAAAAATCTCCCATGAAAGGACTTCTCCCTTGACTGATTTCCATAATGAAATAAACCAACACTTTATAGAAATTTTTATTTAAAAAATTAAGTAAAGCTTAAGTATTACTGTAATTTCAAAAACTTAAGTAAAGTTTTTGAAATTACAGTAGAAGCTCGATTATCCCAAGGTAATCGGGACTGTAACCACCTCAAATAATCAAAAACTCAATTGACTGGGACTAATTTTTATATAGTACCAATTTTTCAAAAAAATTTTTTTACTTAAAATTCTAAAAAATTCGTGTGCAAGAATTACTATTAACATTTTAACAATTTTTTTTATAATGAAATAAATTTTATTTCCTTCAGATAAACAAATAATCTCTAGTACATTTTATTTTGTGATAAAAATATTTTTGAAAAAAACTAGAATAAATAAACCCCTGTCCACATTTACACAAGTTGTGAAATTTTGTCAGATTTCTTATGTACATTTGTATGAGACATTAATTTTTTTTTTGGAAAAAGCCAGTCTCATTTCAAAATCCTTCACAAAGGCATCTCTTTCTTTAGACAGAAAGCCCTAATGTGCTTTTGCCATAATTGCAATAAAACAAAGTTTCAACATATCTAATTTTTAAATTGTTCATTTCATTAGTATCCTCAACATCACTGCAGTGTTTATTATTCTGTACATTTACACCACAAATAATTTTTTTGGTCTCTCATAACTTGGTTTTCTATTTTCTACATTTATCCATTCCAAAAGGACATCCTTTTATCCTTTCAAACATTTCTGCAGCTTCATCAGCTACTGTTGCTTTTATTTTTAATACATGAAATCCACATTTTTTTTCACTGAAGTAGGTAATAAAGAAGGCAGTCAAACTATCATGATAGGAAAATTTAAAAGATCTATCATACATATGAGAACTTGAGCATATAACTGGTTTTTGCTGTACTCTCTAATGTTACTGCATTTTCTGAAAGATTTCTTTAAATTGATTGGCAGCTTGATCAATGGGGATTTCAACTGATAAATGGCCAGTTAATAGAGGCTCAACTGTAATTTTTATTAAAGATGTCCTCTATATTAAATGCGTAAAATATCCATTAAAAAAAAATCAGTTATGCCTAGAATTGTGAATAATTTTACTATTGTTAAATATATGTTCAGAAAATTTTGGGAAATACTAATTTACATTATATAATAATTTGGAAGAGTGATTTTTATATATTTGGTTAATAATTATAAATAATATAATTAAAAAGAATAGAGAACAGTAGCCATGGCAATTGAAATGTTAATGTTTAATTAATATTTCTGGTAGTATAGTGATATGTATTATCTGTTATGAAGCCGAAACATCACAATGAGTGCATTAGAAGCTGTGTTAATTTTTTGTTTCTTTATTACATGAATTATGAATTTTTAAAGTTATGTTTTATTATTTATTCCAAAATTGTATCAAAATATCTGTTCGAACATTAATTAATAATATTCTGAAATTTAAGAGTTTGAGATTTCAGTAACCTTAAAGAAAGATTATACAGCAGTATTTCACCTTTGCAGATTGATTTGCTCCAATTAGTAATTCATAAAGAAAAATATAATGATCGATTAAAATTTTGCTTCTGAGATGGTATTGGCATGCTAATGATACATTATCAGATGATAATTTAGCATGGTGTGGGAAAGCTAATTTCCAGAATCAGTGAAAAAGTTAATTTGCAGATTTTATATTTTTTTAGTCCTATTTTTATTATTGAAAGAAGGTTTCATAGGTCATTCCCAAAGGTTTCATAAAGTAAGAGTTTGTAAAATTAATTATCTTCAGTATAGGGTGTATGGAATGACCAAGATTGGTCATATTCTGAAACTTGCAGGTAAGTGGTGCAGCTGTTATGCATTTAAAATAAATGTAGCAAATATGGTGAACTAAAACTACTCAGTACACACACACACACACACACCACACACACACACACAAAAAAAAAAAAAAAAAAAAAAAGAATAATTTGTATAATTTTTTTTTTTTGCAAAGCTATGAGATGTTTCTTTCCATTTGAAATCTGAAAAGCAGTAGATGCAGTTGTTAAGAATATTCTTTTTTCCTTTTTAATCTGATTGATTTAAATAAAAATACACTGAATTCATGATATATACGATTAAAAACATTAAATATTTTTATGGAATTATATATATATTTTTTGACTTTCCAAATATATTGAAGATGTATGATGTTCCCACATTAATTTAAATGTATATTCATCTAGTAGCATATCAAATATTTTGTTATTCCATATGAACTATATTGATGATCTTTACTGATAAACCACATTAAAATTTAAAAGATCCTTGGTACTTACGTATTAACGCAACCAGGCCAAAATTCGCATAAATTGCCAAATTTGGCGACCCTACTTACGGCAACCCTACGTGTTATACGTAGTTTTGTAAAAAGAGCATGTGGAGATTCACAAAATTTTCCTGCATTTTTGTGCAAATTTTTGTAATTTATGAGAAATAGCAGTGTACATGGATAAAGTCAAGAGTGTGTGCAATGCCATTTTTGTGCAATTCTGGGATGTTTTTTTAAGTAAAAATAAGTCGATGTGTACATGGTTATGGCGAATACGGTTTTTAAATCAGTGCTAAAAGCAATAGCCAAAAGATTTCCGCCGAAAAAATAATTCTGCAACTTATTCAAATTCGAAACCGGAAGGGTTAATTGCTATTTTATATTTTAAAACAAAATAATATAAAAAAACTGTATTAAAAATTATCTGTAATAATAAATGTACATTTCTTTCTATTCATACTTTTTTACTCAACTTACAAATCGTTGCGATAATACGTAAACTGGTTGCGATAATACGTAAGTACCAGATCCTTTGTGGGCAGCCATTAAAATATAAAACCTGTAATATATTTTCTTTTCTTATATTTTTTTCTCCTTTTAAATTAATATTAAATGTAAATCTTATAAATATTAAAAATCTTCAAAGTATTTATTTTTTCAAGATGTTTGTGAAGTGCAGTATTACTAGTATTTTCATGTGCATTAAAATAATAATTAATATTGATAATGTTATATTTGTGTTAGGAATTTAAATCTTGTACTAATATAAAGCGTATTAAATGTCTTATTTATTAGCCATAACTGTTTTACTTTGCTTTATAGAATGCTCTAATTCAAAAGTTTTGTCTAGAAAATTAGAATGGGATGAAATGAAAGCAAATTGTGCATTATTACAAACTATACAAGAGCTTGAAAAGAGTAAGTTTTCTAAGCTTTTTAAAGTTTCGTTTGCAAAGCATTAAAATTTTTTCGGTAACTTCTGAGTATCTGCTCTCTTTTCCCATTAATTTGTGAAAGTGTTTTGTAATTAATATTGTATGTCAATATATTGCGTATGTTTGTGCACAAAGAAATGGCTAAAAAGCACTGGGTATAACATATTTTTTCAAACTATTGATAATTAACCACTGATGTAGAGAAACCACTCAGTACTACTTAAATTAAAAATTTTATATATTGTTTTGATCAATAACTGAAGTGACTTAGAGTAGCTTTCTGAGAATGCTTATTTTCATGCAAAATTAAATAATAAAATTTGTGTGTTTTAGCTGTTATTTGAATTTTTAATTTTTGTAAAACAGTGGCAAAACAAACTATTATATAATTCTGTTATATTATTATATTATATCTTTTTCAGAATATCATTTCCCAGCCACTGACCGAAGTCAACACTGGGAAAAATTTTATGAATGGTGCTCAGAGCATGGAGCTAAGTTTAGCTGTGTAAAAGTAAAAGAAATAAGTGATGGAAATTTCGGTGTTGTGGCAGAGGAAGATATAAAGGTCTGTTTATTTTACAGCTTTTCTTTTTAAATGTAAATACTTTTTACTATTATATGTTTTATAGTATTTATATAGGGATGTCAGGAAAAGCAGTGCATTTTGAAATACTATAATAATTTTTATTATAAATCTAATAAATTCAATAAAGCATTTCATCAATGATATCAGTTTATTTCTCTTATTAATGTGCCACTTAATTTTATTGTGTCATAATTTGGTATTTGAAAATAAAGTTAATTGATTGAAGTATTATTATATTGTCTACTTAGGAGCACGAGCCATTTCTCACTATTCCTAGAAAAATGATGATGTCTGAAATTTCTGCAAAGAATTCAAAATTAGGTATGATTGTAATACTTTTTTTACACAAAAATTTACTGGTACTATTATAGCATGGAGTTCATGTCAGTTTACATTTTAATGTGTGCTTTACCAATAAATTTAATCTTGTCTAATATAACCAAAATTATGCATATGTAAAGTGTTTGTGTCGAAATGTGGATTGTGTGAGGTGATAATGTCTTTTAGTGGTTTTATTAAAACTCAACAATAATATACGTGATACATTACTTAGAACCGAAGTTCTCGACAATTGAAACCGATGCGACAAACATAAATGATATCAAGATATCATTTTTGTTTCTAAATCTTACACAGTTTCATTAATGTTGAGGGAAATTTCAGTACATTTCTTTGTCTTTTCCTTTTGCCTTTTTCCTGTTCTAATTGCAGCATCAAAGTTTTGGGAATTTGATGGTTTTAGTAGAGCTTGTTTTTACACTGTTATTAGATTTAGTGGCTGTTTTGGCTCATCTCTCTTGTTTAACCTAATCAAAATAAGTCCATGAATTTTATCATGGCAAGGTGGAATACCATAAAGGGGACAGTTGATAGAGAGCAATGATTTGAGAATCTTCCCTACCATCAAACCACATGAGAGGACTTTTGGCTTACTGTGTATTTTGAGTGTTCTATGCCATACAGGCACTGTATGCTTAACAAACATCTGTGCATTCTGTGGGATTCGAACCCATACCCAATGAATGAAACAGAAGACAGGAGGATTAGTCAGTGTACCAGTGAGTGTGGCACTAAAATAGTATATGAGGGGGGGGATATTAAATTTAAAACAAAATTAATGCATAAAACTTAAAAATAAAATAATGTTATTTGTTAAAACTCAATAATTTGTACATGGTTACATGGAAACTGCAAATATTCTTTTGTTATGTAACTGGTAAAATTGGTTAATAAATGGTAAATTGAGCTAAGAACTGTCATCATATAAGTTTGTCTTATAGAAAAGCTTGAGTGCTTTCAAAATATGTTTTTTTAAAAAACAAAATGTGTTAAGAAGATGAATTGATACTTTAGAAGAAAGTCTAAAGTTCAAAAGTGTTTATGCCAGAAGTTTTAATTTGTTATTTAATATATTGAACTTTTATGTCATCTAGTGAAAATTAAAATTTTGTACAGTACAAAGTCCGTAATCCGGACTCGTCGGGACTTCGGCGATTCGGGTTTTTTCTGGATTATAGATCATCAATTTAAATCTGGTAAGATGGCATACAGAAATAATACAATTAAAAATATGAAACCGTAATTTATGAAATAAAGAGCAATTATGATCCAAAGGGTATCAAAAATTTACAAAAAAAAAAAAAAAAAAAAAAAAAAAAAAGCTTAATATTTATTTGTTTATTTTATTAAACATTTCTTTCAATTTAAGTTGTTTAAATTGCTTTGTTTTTTGTGCTAATGCTTTCTCTTTAATTCTCTCTTCTATAAACAGACATAATTTCTTGTTCAGTTACAAAGTTCGACTGTTCAAATTCTGTAATTGCTGTGTCGAGAATACTGACTAACTTGTCAATAGAAATTTTTTCGTTTTCAATAACCTCTCTGTCACTTTCTTCACTATCGGAAGCATGCATGTGTTAATGCTTTACTGGCTTTATGCGCATGCATAGCGGATGCGCGCATCAAACATCCGTGCGTAAGCGCTTTACGCGAATGCGTAAATTTGTGACTTTGAGGTCTGGATTATAGATCATTCTGGATAATAGACGTCTGGATTATGGACTTTGTACTGTATAATGAATGATTATGATTTGCTAGAACAATTCATTCAGTTTCCTAAATTAAACACTGTTTTTTTTTTTTTCATTTAAAATTACTAATATGTATTTGATTAAAGTTGAGTTGTTTATTGAAATTTATAATATTTAGCTTGATTTGTTAAAACTGAAGGTGTTACTATCTGTTGATCAGCATCTTTATGATACCATTTTATCTTTTATAGGACCTCTTATTTCCAAAGATCCCATTTTACAGCACATGCCTAATATCCAGCTTGCTATGCATCTTCTTATGGAATACCTGAATCCTGACTCATTTTGGAAACCTTATATATGTATCCTTAACTGTGTACTTTTTATAGAAATACTGCAGTCATAGAAAAGTCTGTTATCTATGAGAACTTTTGTAAATATACTTTTTTCATATTAAGAAATGGTAGAAATTCGGATCAGGAAATTTTCACAACTTTATTGCTTGCCGACTGTTATATATTTTTAAGCCAGATTATAAAGTAACTCATGAACAGTGTTACAGCGTTTATTTTATTTTTAAAAATTCTATTTTCTTTAAAAAAATTGATTTCATACAATTTTAATTTTAAATTTCTGAATTCAGCATTATCATTCTATTTTTACTTCTCTGTGTGCAAACAGCTCACAGAAAAGTCATGTTGCTTGTGTAAAATGTACATGTTGCACCCCTTCCCTCCAAAGTACAGTTCTATATTTTCCATTGTACTGGACCGATTGTCGAAATTTAACTTGTGCTTTTTATGTCTTGAAAGTGCAACTTAGGATATATATATAGCATTAGTCTAACATAGGTATTTTGATGTAAAATTGGACCTTTTTCTGAAATAACATACTAATTGTTTCCCGTATTTTGATGCTATGACTCAAATTATGCCTAGATATTAAATTTAATAATTTTTGCAGAAATTAAAAAATTTATCTTGGCATATTTTTTTCAGTTTACACTAAGAATAATGGTGAATTTCTTAATTTATGGCAACCTATTTTCCTTTCTCTTTTTTTTCTTTGTGCACAAGCAGAACAAAAGTGCATCTTTCATACTTTCAAATAATTTTCACAAAGTGGGTAAAGCACGCTTGGTGTTATTATTGCTTGTAACAAATATGCCAAATTTCAAAATGTGCTAATATATAATTGCTTATATCTCTGGAAATTTTAAATAAAAAAATATAATTTTTTGCAGATATGTCTAGAAATACATCTACTTTAAGATGATGGTAAAAATTTTATAGGTTATAATTCAAAATTGTTTTCAAAAAATTTATAAAAATTATTTTTAAATACAAATTTTAAAAATAAATCTCAAGAAATGGCGAACTTTATTTGGAATGAACCTAAATTTGGAAACGTGAAAGGAAGAATCAAATAAGTTTAATAAAAAAAGAGATATTAATAAATAAATATATACCAAATTCAATTAACATGGAGGTGCTAAAATTTTAAAAGTTAATTTTTTATAAACTGCTTGTGCGATTTTTACAAAACTTGGCACTTTGGCATAATTTGAGTCATAGAATTGAAATATGAAAAAAATTGGTATGTTATTTCAGAAAAAGTCCGATTTTGTGTCAAAATGCCTGTGTTAGAACAATGCTATATTAATCTAATATATATATATATATATATATCCTATGCCGTGCTTTCGAGACATGGAAAATGCAAGTTAAGTTTTGACAATCAGTATAGTAGAACAGAAGATATAGAACTCTCCCATTTTTTTGTGTGCAAGGTGTACAATAATTGCATTTGGCTATTAGAGGGCCTTTGCATACTTTTTACAAAATAGCAACAGCAAAAAAATTATGTAATCCAGGACAGCATAGTTCATATTGTAGTAAAGACAGAGTTAAAAAGCATTTTTCAAACATTCATTGCAATGTCACATTTCTAAAAAAGGTTTTTCAACGAAAATTTAGTTTCCTTTAGTTAGAAATAGATCTCTGTCATGTGACAACCACCTTATTTCCCAGATTTCTCACTCTCTGATCTAGCTGTTCTCTTTTATTATGATGAATCTACAGGATCAATATTTTCAACAATGTGATAGCCAGTCTGGGGGCAGATAAGAGGTTTTGTCAGTGTTTCCAGAAGTATAAGTAGTGCTGAAGCAAGCATGTAGGTTACAATGGCTGTTGCTTCAAAGGTGACTATGTGATATATTTTTTTTCATTAAAAACTTTTTAATGTAGGAAAATACTTTTGTATAATTAAGGTTATAAAACAATAGAAATCTGAAGTCATGTAAAATTTTTAAAGCAGATATTGTTAACATTGGAAGATTGTAGTATAGAAATAGAGCGAAAAGTCAAAGAATAATTGGAAATAGAAGTAAAATTATTTTTAATTAGACAGTTTTGTTTAAAATTTTGACTAATAAACATTGGGTTTGAAGTTCATTATCCAATCAGGGTTTTAAAATATTTTTGCATTTATGTATGCATGTATAAATAAAGCATACATAAATTAAAAATATGTTGGTCAGATGTCTATAAAAGATTTAAATTCTAATAACTATGAATGTAAATGTGCCATACAGAGCAAGGCATAGGCAATAATTTCATCAGAGGTGTGTTTTGTGGCTTTAATGGTGGAAAGTGTAAGCTGGTGACCACTTAATAGATTGTTTTTAAGCTTACTTTGTATGCAGATACATAATTTACTCTACATGCTAGGCTGTATGATTGAGCCTTTGGACTAGGGCACCAATAGCTTTTTTTATTCTTGTCATTATTATTTTTTAAGCTTACTTCGTATGCAGATACATAATTTACTCTACATGCTAGGCTGTATGATTGAGCCTTTGGACTAGGGCCCCAATGGCTTTTTTTATTCTTGTCATTATTTCTACAAGAACGTTAATTGGTGTCAATAGATTGGTATTTGAAATAGTGAAGAGAGTACTGCAATTATAATCTTAAATACATCAGATGTAAATTCTGTTAATCATAGATTTTCCCCAAAAAATGATTTTAGGCATTTATCTGGAATGAGCAAAAACTCATGTTTTAAGTAACATTTCTAAAATCACATAGGTTTAAAGGAAGAGGACATCGACTTGCATGCCTTTTATGGTGGTTATCTATAATGTCAAGAAACATAGAGATGAGAACTTGGATCTTCATATGAGAACTTGGATCTTCATATAAAATTCTTTAGAAGATTTAGCAGAGTTGAATGCAATTAAATGAAAAATAAATGCATGACCTTTCTGAGTAATCCTTTTTGAGTACTTATCTCTGAGTACATGAAAAGTGGAAGCATCCTAAGTCTAGATTTGTGACACTTCCAAAACCTGACTGTGTCTGGGGTAGTTTGGATTGTAATGTTTACAATCTGTAGGTTACTGCTTCCATGAGCTTACATGCACTTAAAATCGTATGGAACTTGTTTCCATAAAACTGCTTAAAAAATTCAAACAGCATGAAAAAATGTCAATTTTTATTAAATTTCTGTCCCCTGCTCCTGATAAAAACTGCTTACTCCTTGTTAAATTATTTCTTTGGGATATGTATTTCTTGAATGTATAATGTAAACATATTAAATAAGATAACATGTTAAATAACACAACATATTAAATATGTTTCAGTGTTTAGATTTTTTATATCAACACTGGGATTGAGGGAAATTATACTTTTATTTTTATACAGAGCATTTAATACTTGAAAATTATTCTTCTTTTCTAAAAACCATACCCAAAACTGAATTGTATGTAACTGAATTGGTGTAAAATATATATTTCTGGTACTGATTATGTATTCTAAAGATGAAAAGATTGTCTACTTTTAAGTTAAGCTGTAAATCTTAAATCATTAAGCTATTTATTCAATTAAATCCATACCAAATATCATACAAAACCTTATACATATCATTTGTCATATTTTTAATTACTTTATGCTTTCACGTGCTTTAGAAAGAGGCTGTGATACTAGAGATTAGATTTCTACAGTGGTGTAATTTTCTTCAAGATGAGTTTTATGCTCTTCTAAATGGGTTGCTGATTTCTAGCTGTTTGTCAAAATATAGACACCACATTAATTTAGAAATATGCAAGATTTTATATGGAAACTTTATATTAAGAAAAATATGTCTGGCATATATGATATATTTATCTTTAGGAAAAAATTAAGTTTTATTTATAACTTTTTATTCAAGATAACCTATTCCTCATTTCAAAATGAAAACAGAGGTACTTTTTGATTATCTGCAACTCCCCTCCCCCCCAAGAAAAAAAAAAAAAAAAAAAAAAAAAAACCACAAAATAGTATTGATGAGGCAAATACATTATGTTACCAAAAAGTACTTACCGTATATACCCGCATATAAGTCAAGATATTTTGGACAAAAAAAAGACTTCAAAGTGTGTGTGTGTGTGGGGGGGGGGTCGACTTATACGCGGGGCCATAAAAAATGAAAAGAATCGGAAGTTAAAAATTTCTTTATATAATGCAGTTGTTTTCTTCCCACACTCAAATTGGACGACTTATCAAATAAGTCACTTACTTGAAGTAATTTCATGACTTAAATTATGTGACAAACTAATCACAGAATTTCATACTTTAACTAGAGTAAGTTTCGATTAAACCAAAGAATTTTCGGCCCCTGAACAACCGATCAATATCGAGCAATAAAAAAGTCACGCCAAGAAAAGAGAAATGCAGATAGTTTTTACGTACGTATAAGTCTTTATAATAGTTATTGTTCATTCATGAAATACTTTTGTTAACAGGCGTACACGTCAAAATTAAAAAAAATAGCCCACACAATAACTGAACAGTTTTGAATATTTCTTTTAACTTTTAAAAAGGTAAAATGCAGATAAATTTTACGTACGCTAATCTTTTCCGGAACAAATTCTAGAAGGTTACATTAATATATTACGATGTTATATTAATTACTCAGTGGGTTAAAGATGCTTGGAACGAAATACCCTCTGAAATGATTATAAAATCATTTAAAAAATGTTGTATTAGCAACGAACTAGATGGCACGAAAGATGATGCTGTTTTCGAAAGTGAAAATGACGACGAAGGCTCTAGTAGTGATTGTAACAATACAGAGTTCGAGACTGAAAATATGTATGATGATGAGCCAATGACGACAGAAGAGTTCTATGAAATGTTTGGCGAATCTGACCATGAATCGGATGTTAAAGGATTTTGATTTTGTTTATTTACCAAGGTATTTTTTATCATATATTTACTTTTTTTTCTCAGATGATTTTGAATAAATGTAGTACTTAAAAATTTTTTTTCGAAGTTTCTCGATCGATTTCAGAAGTGGGGGGTCGACTTATACGTGGGTTCTTATTTTCTACGAATTTTTTATGTCGAAGTGGGGGGGGGTCGACTTATACGCAATATCGACTTATACACGGGTATATACAGTATGTGTCAACCCATGTCATTAAAAGTATTCATGTGGCAACCCAAGTATATGCATAGCATATATGTTTGAGTATATGTGTATATGCACATTTGAAATGTAGCAATTTTTCTGATTAGTATTTCTTTTTGCATTGGAGTGCATATATTTCTGTTGTAACAATTCATAGTGGAACTGTGGAGTTTGTCCTGTTTTATTCCATTATGTTGAAGTATTTTGTTATACAGTACACTGAAGTTTAGAACTGTTCCTGGGCGAGCATGATCATGGCCACTGTGCAGTGCTGTAGTCATGCAATTGTGTGAAGTTTTTTTTTTAAGTGAAAAGAGATCACAATGTACATGGCAAGAACATGAGTGCAAAAAATTACTGTTTAATTTTTTTTTAATGAATGTAAAAAAAAAAAAAAAGTTCTCTGGTTTCACTGGATACATTATTGAAACAGATGTTAAGATATGCAAGCAAACATTTCTGTACCATGTTGCCAGCAAATTTGCAACTTTTTGATGGGTGTGTGGATAATAAGAAAGTACAATTAATTGTACAATTTGAAACAAGTAAACATTTATTGTTATAAATATCATTGTAAAAATAATCAGTTCCATAATTATAATCAATCATACGTTGAGAAAGATTCATTTTTGTGTATATTTTATGTACATTGGATGTATACAATCAGACTGAACATTTATAATCAAATCTCATTATAAAGTCACATCGGTCACCCTGTTTATAGTGTCACATTTTTGAACTCTTGGCAGACGCATACTGTTTCAGTGTTTCATCTGATTACATACAATCTCAGATTGGAAATATTAGCTTTGCTTTTGTTTCCAATATCGTCATCGTAAAACTGCATGTTGCAAATGAACACTTAAAATACAACTTTTATCATAGAGGGTATTTTATATTTAATTTTAATGAGTTAAATCTTTAGAGAAGTATATGAAGAGAATCGTTAGAGAAGATAAGTAATTTTAATTACTTTACTTGAAGTTAACATTTTCAAATTATGCTCATTTTGCAGTTTTCTCCTGCTTGAGTTTTACATTTTGCTTTTTCAGCCAAGTGTTGTGAAATCTCTAAGATGTGCTTATATCTAGTATGTATTGGAGAATTTTATTGCTTGTACTAATCAATGTTAATCTTAAAGCCAATTTGTTTAAATTAAAGTTGATTATCCTTTACAAAATTCAAAACTAAATTTCTTTAATTATTTAAGCTATTTTTTTAAAATTTCTGATATCTTTTGCTTCCTTTCTTTTCACAGATCATTTAAGAAATGTTATAAATAATTTTTGAAATTTTAAGTAAAAAAATTTATTTTGTTTTGTTCAGTGAGCATACCTTATTTAACTGACATACATTTGGTTGTATATACAGAATGTAGAGTGAAGTACTTAAACACCAAAATAACTTTTGAATGCATAAAGCTGGAGTTGTGTAAGTTGTGTCTACCTATACTAATATCACTATGCTATATTATGTGAGACCTACAACAGTGTCCCTAGAGCTCAGTTTTCCAAGTTAGCAATTCTGTTACAAATAACTTGAGAGCTACCAAAAACAAAATGTAAACATGAAGAATGTCATGGATATTGTATAAAATGATCTTTTTATATATGGCAATAACTTGAAAAGAAGCTCTGAAATGCTGATCCCTTGGTATCCGGTCTTCAGCATAACTTTGTAACTAATGAGATTGCAAAGCATAACATTTTAAAACAAAACTTCTCTCCAATACAGTGATGGTTGGATGATAGTTTGTAAGTGGGAACACTGTGTTATACTGTATGAAGGAGGGAAGATTTTTCCCTCGAGGCAGGGACTGGATCTTCGAGTCCAAACAAAACTTTGTGCTCCAACAAAAAATACTGCAAAATGATTCTCTTGTATGAAGAATGCAGTCATTAGATTAGAAAGGCTGCATGACAACTGTCCATTTTACTGTTTTGATAGTAAAAGGTTCTTCCCCCTCCCATTCTTTTAGCAATTAAACAGTCTGACCAAACAATTAAAAAAAATTTTTCTTTGAACCTAAAACTATTTGAATCAAATGTGTCTGCTTGTGAAGTAAGCAAAGAGTTGCTTACTCATACTGTCTAATTTCTTTCCTTTTCGAGATGAATCATCATGTTTTCGAGATAATCATCATGTCACAACAAGCACTGTTGTGAAAATTCATGTATCTAACTCCAAAAAAGGCTGCATAAAGAAAAACCTGCATGTTCACTGTTGAATAGCTTGTTTCGTATGCAGTGAAATCACACACTTTGCAGTATCTCTTAATAAAATAAAGGCATTCATATACCAAAGTAATGCCTTGCAGAGAGGAGCACAAGAAATAGAAACTCATAAATTAGTTATTAGTGCAAGAATATGAATGATTTTAAATCTTTAAATTGTACTCAGCACATGCTCCTACTGTTTTAAAATAGTGATGTAATTTGCATGAATATACTGTTACATAATTGGAAGTCTGAATGCCATGTAGGCTGTCTGTATGAATGCTTGTTGTGACAAATAGCCTATGTAGACCTGATGGGCTTGCATAGCTGGCATCACAAATATGGCTGCCCTATATACAGACAAGATGTTGAAGCATTTTTTAGCTCTGTTTTTGAACTTAATTACAGAAAAAAGTAAATATTTATGTTACTTTTTTCTGTATATATATATGTGTACTTGTTTGCATATTTTTATAATTTCTCTTTTTGTATTATAAATATCAGTAGTAATAAAAAATATATATACAAGCATAATTTCAATGACTTTTTATTAAATTATTATTATCATTTCAATGACTTAAAATGACTATTAAGTTGAATTCACTATTTACTGCAATTGAATTCGAGCATATTTATTAGAAATCTTATGGGTTAAGGATACCATATTAGCATGTGATATATTTTTTATACATTTTTAATAAGCATTTTTTAATAAAATAAATATGAAATAATCTAGTATGTATTGGAGAATTTTATTGCTTATAGTAATCAATGTTAATCTTAAAACCAATTTTTTTAAATTAAAGTTGATTATCCATTATAAAATTCAGAACTAAATTTCTTTAATTATTTAAGCTATTTTACCATCCACTTTTGATACTGTTTTATATTTTACATTAGAGGAACTGCAAGAGTTACAAGGATCTCCTGTTTTAGGTGAGTGTTTGCTTAGTTATTGTATTTGCTTAGAGGAAGAAGTTCAAGTTTAAAAGTCTGTGATGTAAAAATATAAATTTGTCTTAAAGGACTGAAAAGCTTTGTTTTTTACATACAGCATACTCTCATTTATCTCGGTGCAGATTATCTGGTTTGTGAATTCTCTGGCATGGCAGTGGCTGAGCCATGTACATTCAACTCACTGCATGAGAGTGTGTGAAAAACAAATGCACAAATCAGAGCATGATCTAAAAACCACCAAATTGCATCTGTAGGTTTAGTTTCAATGATTTTTTTTGCATAATTCGTTCAACATGTGCATAGTTGAAGATGTCATTTCAGTTGATTGTTGGTTTTTTTTTTTTTTTGTTTTGGGCATATTTTTTGTATTGTACATAAATGTGTATTGGGAGAACATCAAGGAATGGTGCAGTGGTGATTTGGCTGAGTTGTCTTTCAGTGCTTTGGTGACATGGATATCATTTCAAATGTCACAAGAAGAGAAGAGACAGAGAGTGATATTGAAAATATAAGGCGAAGAAGATAGATACTGATAACTGCATTAATCCTAAGACAATTACTTCTATTGAAGCTCTATTCAACATTTTGATCAAAGGGGATTCGAATGTAATCATAAAATAGCACTTCAAAAATATGCAGTGGAATTTGGCAAATATTTAAACATTCTCACAAGCAAAAAGTACTGATTTTTTTTTTTTTAGGAAACAAACACTTAAAATATGCATGAAAACTGATGCTTTAGATTATCCATGTTTTTCAATTATCTGTGAATTGCTTCCCCACCATTAGTCCAGATAATCGAGAATTCACTGTAATATGATTTGAGAATATTTCTATATACAGTACAAAGTCCGTAATTTGGACGCCCATTATCTGGAATGATCTATAATCCGGACCTCAAAGCCACAAACTTGCGCATGTGCATTTGATGCGCACGTCCGCTACACATGCACATAAAGCCAGTAAAGCATTTACCCATGTGTGCTTCCGATAGTGAAGAAAGTAATAGAGAACGTTATTGAAAACGAAAAAATTTTGATTGACAAGTTAGTCAGTATTCTCGACATAGCAATTACAGGACTTGAACAGTGGAACTTGAAATTATGTCTGTTTATAGAATTAAAGAGAAAGTATTAGCACAAAAAATGAAGCAACTTAAACAACTTACACTGATAGAAATGTTTACTAAAGTAAACAAATAAATATTAAGCTTTTTTTTTTTGTAAATTTTGATACCCTTTAAATCATAATTGCTCTTTATTTCATAAATTACGGTTTCATATTTTTAAATGTATAATTTCTGCATGGAATCCTCAAAGTCCTGACGAGTCTGGATTACAGACTTTGTACTGTAGAAGCTTTTTTTTAAAAAAATTAATTTACAGTTATTTTTATTGCATTTTGATTTGAATTGTGGTTTTTTAATCTGCATCACATATTAGCTTATATCTCCTTGATTGCATTTAAACAAAACAATATCATAGAAAATGCATTATTAATTTATTAATTGTTATAACAAATTAAAAAAAAGCACATTTTCATCATAAAAGTTTTCTAAAATTCAGATATATTCCTGTTACATATATGACTATTTTATTATCAAAAAGTGCATAAAAATATTGCTTTGTTTTTTATCAAATTTTATGCACTTGAAATTTGTTTATAATATGATGTACCTTTGGTTTTATTATGTGAAAAATAAATGGGGGAGGGAAGTAAGGCACCTAAGCCAGAACAAACTCTGGCTTTACCACAAGTATAAGAATAATGATAGATGTAACAATGTTCTCCATTGATAACTTAATACATTAGTTCTTTCTGTGCGTAAAGCTACTAATTGTTGAACCATATCTTCCATTAATTTATTCTTATGAAAAATGATCAAATGCGTAAAACTTTTATTTCTTCATTTCCAAATTATAGTTTACCTAAAATAGAGAAATTCAGTCAATACTTATTAAATTTTTTATTTTCATCATTATGATCAACATCAGTAATTTGAATTTGAATAGCTGTTGAAAGAATTTTAATAAACATATCATTGGCTTTTGAACTTTGAATTTTCAACTATGATATAAATGTTACCTGTATCATCTCTCCCATTAAATCTAACTTTTTGTATATTTTTCTGATCCTAAATTTGTTTTTAATAAAAGTATGTAATCATTGTACAAAATAAAACACACAAAATTTGACTCCTATACAGCCAAAATTTACTTTAAATAATTAATTTTAAAATTTAGCAGTTGTATAATCATTTTCAGCATTTTAAATGCTCGGTTAAACAATAAATTAGAATAATTTGAGGGTGATTTTTTCCCTTTAACATCATTCAGTGATATTCTTTTTTGATTTACTATTGTGTAACATTCTTAAACTCATTAAATTTCTTATACATTATCATTTATACCTAAATAGTTTGCTGACAATGCTGACAGCATTAATACACCAATAGTTTATTAGTTTGTAAATGTTAAAAAATGGGTTAATAATATTCATATTCAATTTAATTTTTTAAATTTAAGATCATAATCTAATAGTGGCTATAAAAAATCATTGGATTAGAAGTATTCACGTTTTCTGTAAATAATGTTATAAATAATGTTAAAATATATGTATACATGCCTTGGCATTAGCTTATCTTTCTCATTCAGAATAAGACTGCATCTCTTTAAAAATAAAGATATAATATGATTGATATTTTTAAATGGTTTATAACATAAAAAAAAAAATTCTACATTCTCTCTTTCTTTCTTTTTTTTTTTTTTTTTTTTTTTTTTTTTGTGTGTGTGTGTGTGTGTATTAGTACGTATGTGTAAGTACTTTATAAGAATTTTTAGTCTTTTTCAGATGAAGTATTCAAATTATTGCGCAGTGTGGCTAGGCAATATTGTTATTTTTTCCAGCTTTTCCAGGTATTGTAAAGTTTTTAATTTTCTTATACTTTATATATCACGATACATGTTAAGCCTTGTACAGAATATTTTATGCATATTTGAAAATGACTAGAACACTTCATTCCCTCTTACAGTGCTTCAAATATGAGCTAGTAGTCAAATATGAAATAGTAATCCAAAATAAAACAAAGTGGAATTGACCACTCTACATGTGCAGGATTTAAGTTACAACATACTTGTATTAATATGACCTTTGATTTAATGATCTGTTTTGATAATATGACTCAAAAGGAAGTCTTGTATGATTGATAAATCTAATATAATTTTTCTTTCAGTATACTGCATATTTATGAGCCAAAACTGAAGTATGCTGACCTTTCTAAATTCATGATTAAGGTAAATGTGGTTGAAATAAGTTAACTGTTTTCCACTTGGTGAAATCCACTTAGGATAATTCTTTTACACCAGCATTTGAAGTGCATTTCAGTATACTTGATCTATCAATAAAAAACCTATTCAAGAACTTCTTGGTATGATTAAATACAACTCACAATCTACTCTTCCCCCTCCCCAAGGGAAAAAAAAAAAAAAAAAACACCAGGCAGATAAATTATAAGATTTTAAAAAAATAAACATAAATGTTCTAAAAAAATTCATGTTTGAAGTTTCTGTATACAAGGAATTGAATATTCTTTAATTGCAAATTCATTAAAATACTATTTCTAAATTACTTATATTATGTATTTCTTTTTATAGAATGATTCTTATGCTAAATCTCTGAATATTGGTCAATATTTTACATATGATTTATATCGGTAAGTTGTTTAAAAGTATTTACTATTTTTTTTAAATTTATATTATGCATATTTTAAGTTAAAAGGGGATTTAAGTTAAAATCACTAATAGATAATACTGTTTCTTATTACTTGGTAACAGTTGGGCGGTCTCTGCGGTTATGACTAGGCAAAATGTTATTCCTTCTGCCGATGGATCACAGCAAGTAACGTCTTTAGTGCCTTTTTTTGATATGTGCAATCACATTAATGGAAAAGTAAGTTTTTCCTTTTTATATTTTTATACTAAATATTAAAACTCAGCAATAATTTTAATGCCAGTAAATGGAGTAGTAATAATATGTTAAACATACATTTATATAATGCTATTTTAATTACCGTATTTGACAGCATATAAGATGAACCCTTATTTAGAAGGTCACACACATGTAGTTGTAGAAGAAGTTATGTATGTCTAGATCTTTATCCGGGCTAAAAATAGCATTCAGTATTGAAAGTTAACCTGTGTCTTTCACGTATAAGACACAGGTAACTTTTTTGCGACCAAATTTAGGAAAAAAAAGTGTGTCTTATATGCCGTCAAATACGGTATTACTAATTCACTTTTTTATCAGTAAGTATGTGGCAGTCTAAAACTATTATTATATTCTAGTTCTTCCTTTTGACCCTTACTCTAATTGCTATAATAAATAATTAATTATTATTATTTTATTTTCTCTCATTCTCAATAAATTCATATTCTTCAGAGGTGATTGATTTCCTTCTAATGCTTTAGTCTATCCATTATTTTTTTATTTCTCCTGATGATGTTACTTGATGGCCTTTTGTCATAAAAAAGGATCTTGAAAGGTAAAGGCCATTTTTTCATAACTTCATGTATACAGTTCTGCTTTGGTTTCTGTGCAAAGCAAAGAAGTGTTAATTTCTCTGTGTATATGTCAAGTTTCCAGTTTTGTTTCAGTATTCAGGACAATTAAAGCTTGGATTTTTTTTTCCTTCCTCAAAATCTTTTGAGGATTTTTAAATGTTTCTACAAGTTATGATTAAGTTAATTTATTGTACAAGCTGGGAAGTGGACATGTACAATTGTGAATGTCAGTTTTAAAGTGAAAGCTCTTAAATTTCTTATCTGAATAATTAGAGTAGAGATGTTTAAAACCTGTTTTTTTTTTTTTTTTTTTTTTTTCCCACATACAAATAAATATATTACTGTTACAATTGATAAGCCGAAGGATGTAAGAAGCTCTATTTTTGTGACCTACAGATAGAAACTGCACATGCATTTCCTTTCCTTCCAAAGCGACAAGAAAAAACATGCTTTCAATAACAACAGGTTTAATTACATGAAAAGGCAGGTTCATAAGAGTTTTGGTTTTGCTCTCTGCTCACTAGAGAATGAAACATTGCCAATCTACAATAGCTTAATCTGATTCTATTCTTTGATTAGCAAAAGAGAATAATTGATGAAATTTTTTTTTAAGAGGAAGAGAATAAACTTCATTCACCACCAAAGGACAAATAGATTGAATAATTTTTCATTTTTTATGTTTCATACTTCTTAATTATAGATTAAAAAGTTAGTTATAAATTAGTGTTAAAGATGTTAAACTCAGAAGAAGTATACGTGCATGCAACCTTTTTCTTTCTAGTGCATTATTGCAGTGGTTCTCAATATTTTTTGTCCTATGCACCCCTTTCACCATTGCTAGAAAATCATTCCCTCTTTTCTTTAAAAATGTGAAAAATACATATGTACATTTATAAAAATTTAGTTTATTTTTAATGTGGTTTATAAGTAAACAACTAAATAAAAGTCTCTGAAACCTTGTAGTATTGGGTTTCGCAAACTGAAAAAGGGCTTCTTCGTTTAAAATTCTATTGATTTTTAAGTTTATTTATTATGAAGTATCCTAAATTAAATAAAGTGCATTTTGGAACAACAATTTCCAAAATAACAGAGTATAACTTTTTTAATGTTCAATTTTTAACATTCAACAATTTTCAAAATATCTGAGTATAACTTTTTTTATAACCCCCCCCCAAAAAAAATAGTGCATATTATAATTTTTTGAAATTAAATTTTGGTACTTTCTTGTGGAAGTGGTCACCTCAGCTGAGGAAGATTAGTTATCAGAATTGGCAAACTTTATTGCTAGGTTTTAAAATGTTCAACATATTTGATTTTCATAATTGTTCTGATTCTAATATTTTCAGTGTGATATCATCAATTCAGTACTTTTTTAGCTTTAAAGTATCTATCATTTTTAACTCATAATCGATTAGAAAAGAAGCAGCATTTTTTTGTGAAATTTGTAACATGTTATAAATTTTGATTATCATATTCACTTTAGACTGTGCAATATCATTTCTTTGTTAATTATTTTTTCTCTAAAATATTGACCATTTTAAACAGTTAAAAAGTAAGCAGTGAATAGGACAAAAAAAAAAAAAAAAATTATGGCAAACTACAGGGCAGTTGGGATAGAGATATATAGTCTGCACTATAATGCAGACAAGATAGGGACTTGTCTGCATTATAATGGATTTTATAATTAAGAATGAGAAGTAATTTGATATTTGAGAATTAAGAAGTAATTTCTTCAACATATTGTTCATTCTTTCATATCCTTCATTTTTCTCCCTGTAAAATGTGAACCGTAGTTAATTCACCATCAATTAAAAAAGAAGCAGTGTTTTTTTCTCCCCATTCTAAAGAGCATGGAATTCAGTATATACTGAGTGAAAGTACAAAAATGACCATCAAATGAAACTTTTTATTGGTAAATAAAGTATTTGGTGATGCAATGTGAAAAGCTGCATGAATTGGCGAAAAAAATTCTTTGTGACAATAATTGCTTTCATGGTTTCAGGTTTTCTTTTTCTTGCTACTTTTCGTGCTACTTATTTGCTACTACATATACTGTTAAGCCGACGAGCTAATTTTTATTAAATAGTGCAACAGACAGTTAAGTATGGGTGAAAACACGGTGGTTATGATTGATTTATATTGACTGAGTGTAACAACTACACAAGAGAAGTTTGTTTTTGATCCAGCATTTGAAAAATAAAATTAATGAACCTGAAATCTGTTGAGATTGACAAAAGCTCATTGAACAAAAGTCTTGCTTCTCGAGCAAAAGGAGAATATATGCAGAATTTTAGAAACACAATGTGTTTTCGGTGAAATGTAAAAACTAATGGATGTTTTTATCTGCATATACTGGACAGAGGATCCAAAACTCTAATGAAGATGATAAAAGACCACATTCGTTGAAGAAACACAATATGTTTGGCTTACTAGTTTACTTATCAGAGCAAGGAATTAGAAGAGGGCATTATTAAATATTTTGCAATGAATCATAACTACAACTTTTTAGATTCAACATCTGGTGCAAAGCATAGAAAATGATACAATTGTTAAGTTTAGCCAAATGACAAAATAAAAGTAAAGGGGAATGGCTTTCAAGCAGTTAGATTTAAGAAAATTTATATAATGAGAATATGTAGGATGAGAGAAAATATTGGATTATTCAACAGCAGCAGTTGCTGTGTTATGGTTTCCATATAGATAAATAAATGTTGCTCTTTCCCATATATTGAGAATTTTCCTTTATTGAAGGTGGGCATGGTGTTTCCTAATTTTCCCCAAATTAATTCTAATGTTGCTAGATTTTGCCCAAATTCATTGTGGCTGCTTTAATGAGGAAATATCCAAATTTCTTTAAGAGTACAATATTAAATTTTAAAATTTAGATATCAATTCTGAATGATTTATATTGATTTCATAGAATTGAATGTTTTCTAACTTAAAAAATATTATTTTCTTTTAGCTTTCTACAGATTTTAATTTAGAACAAGATAGTTTAATTTCATATGCATGTCAACAGTTTCTGAAAGGTGAAGAAGTAAGTAAGATAATTGGTTATTACTGTTAATTCTAACTATATTCAATTTTTATCGTATTTTATTAATTATTTTGAAAATTAAGTGATTGAACACCTTCTGTTTTAAAACCCTATCTAATTTATAATTAATGTCTAAATTTACTTTTTGTACCTGATTATGTTGCACAAAATAATGCTGTAAAATGTGTACTGACATGGAAACACAAAAGTGAAATTTCTGGTGTGAGAAGATAATGTGTAATAAATATTTTATGAAATCATAAATGAATTTTATTTTCAAAGCACTTCTGTATAATTACCACCTCTACAAAAGGCCAAACATTTTAAATTATCTGGAACCATGGCAAATGAGTTATCAAAAGGAGGTTTTAGTATAAGTGTAAATCTATTATTACTAATAATTTAAGGTATTAATTTAAATATCTTAATTTTTTTTTTCATTTTTCTTTCAAAAGAATTGTTTAGCATTTATTCGAGAAATTCTGTACATCCTGGTAGCTACGTTGTTGATGGACTGAATCAAAAAGAATTTTTTTTTTTTTTTTCTGCCAGAGTAAAGAATGATTTTCGTTTAAGTTGAAGGCAATTCATTTTATAAATATAAAATATGTCATGTCCTGATTACATGTATATACTATATATGTATATTATTCCATATCAGTCTGTGTAAATGTTCGTAGCGTATTCGGAAACTAAGTACCGTTTCATTCTAGCGCCATCGCGGCGTCCCGCGCATGGTAGGTGTCCCGCGCATGCGCACTAGTCTTTCTTGTTCACTGACTTTCAATTGTCGCCATTTTGGTTGCTCTATGTTGTGTTTTCAGTTTGCTGTGCACATTCAAAATGTTTAAGACAATTAGTTCTCCCTCTGACTGCGAGATTCGTGCCGTGATTAAATTTTTGAACGCGAGGAATGTTAAACCGGCCGAAATTTATCTTCAAGTGACAGAAGTTTACGGTGAATATGGGATAAGTGATGAAATGGTGAGAAAGTGGGTAAGAATGTTTAATGCAGGTCGAACAAATGTCCACGCCGAGGCTCGGAGTGTCGGCCTTCTATTGTCACCGATTGATTGGTAAGGAAAGTTGATGAAGCAATTCATGAGAACAGACGCTTCACAATGACAACTCTTTCAGAGGGCATTCCACAAATTTCACGTTTGTTTTGTTTCGAAATTGTGTCTGACTGCTTGAATTATCGCAAACTATTTCCGACGGGTTCCAAAAATGCTCACTGCTGTTCACAAACAAAGCGACCTTGGTAGTGCCCGACATTCTCACGTGGTACAGTGATCAGGGAGAAAAATTTTTAAAACCAAATTGTGACTGGTGATGAAACTTGGGTGTGTCATTTCACACCAGATCGAAACAACAATCGATGGAGTGGAGACACTCATTCTCCGAAAAAAAAAGTTCAAAGTGACAATGTCATCACAAAAAATCATGTGCACTGTCTTCTGGGATGGAAGCAAGGCATTTTGCTTATTGAATTTCTTCGCAAGGTGAAACCATTAATGCGGCACAATATTGTGAGACTTTAACAAAACTAAGGTGTGCCATTCAAAACAAACGAAGAGGAATGCTCAGTAAAGGAATTGTGTTGTTCCATGACAATGCTCGGCTCCATACTGCTGGTGTCACTCAATCGTTAATTCGACAGTTTCATTGGGAGCAGTTCGATCACCCGCCGTACAGCCCGGACTTGGTGTCGTCCGACTATCACTTGTTCCTGCACATGAAGCGTGAGCTTGGTGGCAAGCGCTTTGGATCTGACGATAACACGAAAAATGCTGTGGAGTCGTGGTTATCGAAACTGGCGGGAAGTTTCTTTGACGATGGTATACAAAAACTGGTCACCCGCTATGACAAGTGTTTGATCATTGGCAGAAACTATGTTGGAAAATAGTTTAAGACATGTATTTTCATGTAAAAATAAAATTGGATTCAAAATAATTGTTTCTATTTTTTTTTCAAAACAGTACTTAGTTTCCGAATACGCCTCGTATTAATATAGCAATACATATTTTTGCATTTATATAGAATTTTTATATACCAAGCATTCTATATTTTTAGAAGTGTTTAAGAAATATTATTTTAATAATTATCTTGTGTTATCTAATTTGTAATAAATCTTTTGTTAGGAACATACTGTTTATTTTTATTACTGAGGCATTAAAAATATATGTTCTTTGATTATTTAAGCAACAAATTGGATTATATTTTTTTAACTTTAATAATTTCATTTGGACAGAAAAAGACCTTAAGCTATATGTAAAATAAGGTTTTAAAAAAAAATCTTAGATTGATGTAAGTTTTAAAAAATACTAAAGAATTTTTTTCTTTTAAAAAAGGACCTATGTCAAATGCTCTAAAAATCAATTACAAATGATTTCAACCTAATTAAAAAGATTGCCTAGTATTACATTTTTTGTTGGCTTGTTTCTATTGATGTTTTGCTCTTTATATTCCACAAATATTTAAAAAGTTGACAGGGTTAAAACACTTTGCTAATTTATGCAATTATTAAATTGAATATGGAATTAAATAGGATCAGTCATTAAAGTGTATGAGAATTCTTTGTTATAGGAAATAATATGTAAGCATATTTTGATATGAATATAACAATTGTTCCTCTAGAAAGAGTACTTTGTATATTTATTTTAGAAATGCCAAGAATATAACAATTGTTCCTTTAAAAAGAGTACTTTTTATAATTATTTTACAAATGCCAAACATTGGCACCTAAGCCACTAGTTAAATGGGCTGTCCAGTACTTTTTAACAATTTCCTCATGCCGGGAAGGTACATAACTGTCACACAAAACTCAGTTTGGGGAATCCACACTTCAACTCTCTAGAGATGGTTTTGCAAACAGTCATGTCCAATCAGATATCTAAATAGAGCCACCTCTGTCTTCCGTGGAAAATTGGGAATGATTCTTTCTTCACCCAGAATCCTCCCTCTCTTATCCACAGCACATTGAATCATATCCTGTTAAGAATTTTCTTAAGAGTCAGGTTAACAAACATTTGAGTTCTATGAAAAGAAGTGGTACTTTATGTAAGTGAGTACTCATTATGCTGTATGAATGTATGCAGATAAGGAGAAAATGAAGTATGATAAAATCTTCCTAAGACAACCACGCATGGTTCAACAGATTTTGCATTTTTGTAGGCATGGTCATCTCAGAGAACATATCTATGAGTTATGTTCAATGCTGCAATTTTAGTTCTTAAAAATATTGATTATATTTGAGTATGGCCAATTTAGGGAAGGGATCACTAGTGTTCCATGGATGCTGAATGGAATAAAGGAATTTCATTATATTTATTCTATAGAACAGAGGTGGCAAACGTTTTTGGAAAGGGCCAGATTGTAAAAATTTTAGGCTCAGAATATCGTGATTTTGAAGATAAATAATTTCCAATTGAAGATCTCATGGAAGCTCTTGAATTGGACAGTGAAATATGGCTATGTATATTCACTTGCATCAAGATCCAAAAAACATTGTTGTGATTATAATTAACATTAAAAAAATATGTCCACCATGATTTTTTTTTTTGGGGGGGGAATGGGTATCTCACTAGTATTTGAACAATTTTTATGGCATGGGAAGTGATTAAACTTGTTTATTGTGCTTATTGTTTCAAACAATGCAAATTTGCAATGATAAGACTTTGCAATGGAATGCACTTCTCATAAGAGCACTGTTTTTTTTCTGTAATTTTGAAGTTAAATTCATTAAGATATCCCATGATGTCTATAGCAAAGACTAATTTCCATAGCCATTCATTAGAGTGTGGGTAGCTATTCTTATTTAGAAATTTTATATTACTTCTCTGAATTAAAAAATCTCAATAAATTTTTTCCATTGCTGACAGATCAAACTTTCGAGAATTGAGAGAGTAAGACGAAAAGGAAGATCACCCACTAGATGGATAGATGATGTTGAGCAAGATTTAAGGTTAATTGGAGGTAACCGATGGAAGACCATTGCGCCGAATGGGGTCAGGTAGAGGAACTTGGAGAGACAGCCTTGGCCTTTAACAGAGTGTGGAGCTTATGATGAAGACCCATCAAACTGCTGCATTATAAGACTAGTCAGGGTGTTCAGGTTTTATTTATAATAAAAATTCATGAAAGTGACTATAGATTAGTTCAGTAGAGTGAATAAAATTAGCTGATGTAGCTGATTCAATAACACATGACAGATTGAGGTATTTCCACCAATGAGTCTGCTGATGAATAATACAGTGTATTGCCAGATGTATTAACATTTAGCTTCTTCATAAGCTTTAAAAATTCTTCCACTTATCCTTTCCCTGACCACACCTATTTTTTCTACAATCAGTTGTGATACATTTTAACTGATTCCATTGCAAATTATATTGTGATAGTGTTTTCTCGACTTCCTTGAAGATATCTTTGCCTGTAGCTCTCTCATGCAGATTATTCATAGAAGCCAATTTTTCATTCACTTCGAACTCAATGACCCCTCGAATAAACAGCAGCAATAATGTAGTACCCATAATATATGTTGATTCATCAACAGCCAATGAAAACCAAATGAAATCTTTTTGTATTGTCTTTTAATTGGCTCTTAATGTAATTCTCGATGTCCTCAACTTTTCTAATTTCTGTTTTTACTGAAAGACTGACAGAGGAAAAAAATCTATTTTCTCTGGGCACTTTTCTTTGGTTACCACTAACAAACATGATTTAGTTAATTTGTAATCCGTAAATTATTTCTCTTTTATAGCTAATAACTGAGCTGTTTATAAGCTGACTTTAGTTACTTGCTTCATGATAATTTTTTACTTTTATGAATAAATTGCCCTGTGATAAACTGTGTTTTAAACTTTTTAATTTAGCAACTGTTCATTTTCTGTGATTTTTGAACATTGTGTTGAGTGCTTAGCTTGGTAATGACAATGTATATTGTACTCATTTAGCACACCTATATTATATCATTACATTATAAACATAATATTTTACCATTTAATTCTATAATATCTGAAATAATTCACACTCTGCTTTAGAACTGCAGCATTCAAAGTCCACTTTTCCCTTCTCATCTGGTCTTGAGAGTGACATAATAATAGTAATTAATTTATAAAATAAAAATAATAATAATAATAATAATAAAAAAAAAAAATATCACAGAGCACTGATTGTCAATTGGCATACAAAATACTGCTGTAGTAACATTGCACAATACCATGTACACTGCTATAGTAAAGTTGAAAGAATTGGCAACGCTTGTTGTATAGCAGTAGCAAACAGCAAAATCCGAATATGTGATGCTAGTTTTCATGTTTTACTATGATAAAAACTAAAACTGAAATGCTACAGTGACAGTTTGCTGAAATTCTTGAGATTGAGAATTTAAGAATACATCATAAATATCGATAATTCAACACCAAAATATTGAAAGTGAGGAGTAAAGGTCAAAGAGGTGTGTACTTCAAATGAAATACTGTTATCAGACTAGATTTCATAAATCCTAGGAATTTATATTAACTTACCACTAATAGTCTAATAGAAATATTGCTTTGCTAATTAGATTATTTCCTTTTACACATGGCTGGCCCCAGAGCTACGTATGTATTGGAAGAGATATCCAAAGTGGGATATATTTGTTGTCAATTAGTCTTCTTTATCTTATTGGTTGTTGTGTCTTCTAAAGTGCATTGTTTATTGACTTCTTTAGAACATGATTGAAGTGAGATGTAAAATGAAAAGTAGAATATAAATGAAAATGGTACTTTCTTGTAAAACCAGTATGGTGGCATTTGAAATTTGAACATTTTGGATTGGGTGATTAGGTTTGCCAGTTTTGGTGACTAAGTGTAGTTGCTAATTTACAAGGAAGTACACGAAAACTTATGAATTAAAATTTTTATTTTTATACATTTATTCTCCTTTATTTAGGTTTGTATGTTTTATGGTCCAAGAACTAATGCTGAATTTTTTGCCCATAATGGATTTGTTTATCTTGACAATGAAAATGATGCTGTTGAAATTAAATTGGGTAAGATTTCCCTCATCAAGTTGTATTTCTTTAAAGTATTTTTTCTTATTAGAATTATGATTAACATTTTCTGTACTCTTTTAAGAATGCATTTTTTTATAGGGATAAGCAAATCTGATCCTCTTTCTGTGCCAAAAACAGAGTTGTGTGAAATCATGAATATTAATTTGTAAGTAATGCATTTTCTTCCCTTTAGTTTTTATGATCACTTTGAATATGTATTATAATATGTTGTTTTTCAAATATAATTAATAACTCACTTAGAATTTTATTTTATTTATTTTATGAAGCTATTTTGCCAGAGATCTTATATTTTGCCAGAGTATAATGTATCTATCTATACACATAATTTTAACTTATTAGTGATGAAATGGATATTATTCAAGTAATAAAGGACAACAAATCACAGTGTGTAACATATAATGTACTGTTGTAAGGAATTTTCTTTGTTTCCCCAAAAAAGATCTGTAGTAATATTGTTTAACAAGAGCATATATTTGAAAGGAATTAAGCTCATCCTTAGATGTTCTAATAGTGTATTAAGAAATTCTAGAATATGCTTGCATGGCACAATTTTAGTTTTTAAATAGCTCTCAAACATTTCACTCTTCATAATGAATGTGTTAGAGAGCTTTGCCTATATCATGCATGAGTATTTTTATTTATTTATTTTCATTTTTTATATTTTTGCTTTATATGACTATTATTATTGTTTGTTCATGAAATATTGTTTAATGCCATGTTGTTTGGAAATTTTATTTTTCAGATCTGATCATTTTTATATTCATAAAGGAAATATCATCTCAGAAAAGCTCTTAACATTTTTAAAGATCAATGTGATGAAAGAAGGTAATATTTTAAACTAATGTTAATTCATATAATTCAGCAGTTAGATTATATAAAATTGGTTTAAAAGAATTACATTTTAATAAAACTGTCTATTTTATATTAATTATAATACAGCACTGCAATCAGACTTGCTCATTTCTATGTTAAATGTAGAATAGTATTTTGCAGCTATTAATTTAGCCAACTGAATAACTGATGACGATGAAATAATCAATGCTTTACAATTCTTTAATGACAATGTGATTAGCTATTCATTCCATGTTTTTTTACTGAAATTTAAAACATAATCTTGATGTATATAGAGAAAACAAAATAAAATTCCCATTTTTTAATGCTTAAACTAAAAACAGTAACATATGCTAAAATAATATTTTATCGAGCATATGTTGAATCATATCTAGCATATTTTATAAATGGGTGCATTTTAAAATTATTTATTGGAGGATAAATTGTATTTAATTTATTATGCATACCTTATTAATTTAATAAAGTTAAAATTGGAGAAAGGAATTAGTAAAATAATTATTTGTATACTTTTCTTAATATGCTCCGAATGTTAAAGAATTAAAAAAGCTGAAATGTTCTTAACCTGCCATTTATCTTTAAGTGTTGAATCGAGAACATTTTATATTCGATAAGCAATTCTATAAATCATGCACTATAAAGAAAATCTTCCTTAGCACTAAATGATAATAATTTTTTTTCTTATGTCTGATGGATCAAATATAAAAAGATTTTCAGTATTTGCTAATGAAAAGTAATAAACGTGAAAATTATAAAATTCACTAGATACAATAGAATAATTTTTTTGTTAATATATTTCTGGTCATTTTTGCTGTTAAGATGCACATTATATCTTCAAAGTTTTAGGATTAGGTTTGCACAAAATTGAAAATTGAAGACAACAATAGATCAAATGTGCTAAATTCTCTTTAGATGTCTGTCCTTTATATCTTTATAAAATATGGAGTTAACTGTCTATTTCTCAGGAAGAAATTCCATGTGAATTATCTTTTTTCAATTAAAAAAAATGATCTTTACATGAGATTCTTGAAACTGAAGATTCTGTGACAATGGTGAACCTTTCCCTAACTCAAGCAGATGATTGTCTTTTTGTCTCAGAATCATAAGCAAAGCTCTGAATTTCATCTTTAGTTTAAAAAAAAAAAAAAAAAATATCAGGATTGATGTCTGCTATTTGAATCAAATCAAGACATGCAGAAATTAGATCTTCTGTTTGTGCTGTATTCAATGCATGAAGGACAAAACAAGAACTATTTTTTTCCCAAGATTACCCATAGCAATTTTATGAGCAGTGTCTTTTCTGATGTTAAGCTTATCAACTTTCATTTGAAGGTACTTGTGATTATTTTTTAGCAACAATTCTTGAATTTTTTTCATGTTATCCATTTGAGACTTCAAAGGGCTCGCACTGAGTTCATGATCTTTATCTTGAAATTATATGTACTAATAAAAATGTGTTACATCATGTTAGTGCTTGATCGCATATATTTTACAAAATATTTCATGTCTTCATTGCTATTTTTCCCATTTTATGGCAAAATGTTATTGTTATTATTTGCTCAGTTAGCATATCACAATAATATATGTTCACTGGGCAATGCAAAATAGTATTTATTGTGTAGAAAATTCTGTCCATAAGAAGCTAGGAAAAGCATGTTGAGGTACAGTAAGAAATGCTGTCAAATATTGCATGGCATGTTTGCTGGAATGTATTAAAAACGTGACAAAGTGATTTTTTCACAAAATTTTAAGTAGGTTGCCTGCTGGCTTCAGCCGGTCCCTCAAATCTCATCTGCTTTAATGTCGGTCTCATCAGCCTTAATGTCATCTGGATGTTTACTTTTGGGGACGTAGATCTGGCTTAGACTATAAATTAGGATTATTGTACCATTTCAAAATTTGTTTCTGTGAGAAGTTACTTTTGCATACTTTTTAAGTACATTTTGCATTCTTTCATTTTAGTGTATTAAAAATGGATGTAACAACTAGAAAGAGAACAAAGATTATTGCAATCATACATCCATTGCTGTAACGAATATTCTGCGGTTGTTAGAAAATCGAGCATTTCTTGAATTCTGAGGAGACAGAATGAAACTGAAAACTCCAAGAAAGAAGGGCAAATGTTTAAAGAAAAGGAAAACGACTCAAATATAATCAGTTCCTACTCCAGTTATTAATCCAATAGAAACCAGCAGAAATTTTAAAAGCGATCTATGGTCTATTGGTATTGATATTCATCCTTCAAATGTGCAACATTGACTTCTTGGTACTTGTCAAAAGGTGTATTGTAGGACAATAAATGCAAATGTTTTACCATAAATGAGTGAAGAATAATTTTTAGCAATGAGACTCATTTATTACACAGTTTTTCATCTAACATTGTTAGACAAGCCTATCTAACAACCATAAAATACCCTCAAAAATAAATATTTTGAGTTTTTTTTTCATTGCAGATGGCACTGAAAATCTAGTTCTTGTTGATGGAATTATGAATTCATCAAATTATATAAAAAAATTAGAACTTGGATTGTGCCATTCTTGAAAATATTTGCAGGGGCATTTTAGCATGACTTTTGGCTCCATATCACAATTCAAAATCTGTCAAGAGGTTCATATTGGGAAATAAAATTATTGCACTAAATAGCCTAGAAATTCACCACACTTAACTGAAAACTGGCAGCACATTCTTAGGTATCGTCTTAGCGAAATTGATTGTTATGGCAAAACAACACATGATTAAGAATGCTATAAAAGTAAGAAAAAAAATGTATGTGCAAGGCTCGTAGCGTTACTTCCTGAGTGCATTAGAAAAACCATTTGCATGAAAGGAAGACATGTTTTCTATTAATTTTATTATTAAATCATTGTACATAAATCATAAAAAAATCATTTTGCCCCAATTAATTTGCACACTATAGTATGCATATGGAGGGGATAATTCTGAAATTTTTGTTTCTGGTGATCATTAGTCAAATACATTTAGCTGAATTATTTAGTTAAATGTACAAAAGTTTCTTAGATTTTTTACAAGGTGTAAGAAGTATTTTGTTAATTAATGTAAACATTGTTTGTTAATTAATGTAAAAATAAATTCATTTATTGTAATTATAAACTAATTTTTATTTAGTAGTGTTATTAGTCCAAAGGGTCGAGTCCATATTTATTATTGATTCCAGATTTTGTAAAACTTTACCGAATTTTTTATTAACAAACTCAAGGATTTCAAAGCGAGCAATGGCAATGTTGTAGAGAAAAAACATTTTTTAATTTCCAGTGCTTGAGCTCGTATAGAAATTTAAAGATATGCTCAATTAAATATTTGCGATATTGCTCTTGAACTGAATTTATGTTAAGTGCGAAAAGCATGATATTTATAAATAAAGGTACCACACCAAAATGTTAAAAAAAATGCCCCTTTGGACGTAATTTAAAATCTGAAACCTTTCAGATTTTCTTTTTCTTTTGTTTATTAGTTCTATTATTAATGTGTAGGTAATCTTTTTGAAATAAAAATAACTGTATTTTAAAATCTAAATTTGACAAAAAGAATCTTATTTTTCTGTGTAGAAGAACAGGAGATTGTACTTAGAAATAAGCAAGACTGTAGCAGTTCAATGTTTGAAAAATTTCCTGATCTCAATAGAAGAGCTCTGTTGTATTTAAAGGACAGATTATTTCTTTTACTGAAGTGTTATAGAACTACATTGCAGGTAAGGCAAATTTGATATTCATTTATACTTCAATATACTGTTAAATCCTGTTAATAAAGCTACTGTGTATTGGAGATTAATCTTAATGAGCAGATCTCAGTAAAAAAAAGATGATTAATTATTAGGCCATCTTGCATTTAATTGGAAAACTTGCTATAGAAGGAAAATGGCTTGTTCTAGACAGAATGAAACTGGATCATTCTCTATATTTCTTATTAATTTATTATAACTGGATAGTTTTTTTATATTTATGTACATACAAAGAAATCTGGTGCTTTCAGTTCTTAGAAAATTATTGCAATTAATATCTAATATTAATGTGTATGTATAAAAGAATTTTTAGTGTTTATTTATAATTTTGAACCATTTTGTAACTATGTTAATTTTATATAATTTTGGATTCGTATGTATTTCATTTTCTGTACAGAATAGTATTTAATTATTCAACTTTCTTATGATTGAATAGATTTGAATTCGATACAAGCATAAAACATACCTTCTTCAAACTCTAATTAGTTACAATTATATTTTATGGGTGGGAGAATTCTCTATTTATAGCATATCTCAGAGTTGAATTTGTGTTTTCACTACCAATAAGTTCATGTGCTTTACTATCTGCACTAGCAATAATTTTTAAGAGCATTGGAAAATAGCTACTGCATGTTTGATATGTTTCAAACAAAAAATTTTACTGCATAAATGTAAACTTTTATAATGTTTCTTTAATCCGTAATGATTTTTGACTCCCTACTTTGAGAAACATCCGTGTATATGAATTTTATTGATAATTTATTGATGTTATCAGTTATAATAATATGTATTTCAGTTTTATGGGTTTTTTTCCCCATTTAAAATTCTTCAAGTAAAATATTGCAATGAAATTTTCAGGACTGATGTTATTATAGTTTTAATTTAAATGAAAAGGATTTTCATAATAAAAAGTGGGTTTGTAAATGGAAATTTTATAATAATAAATTGTATTGAAAAAACAGTAAAATATTAAGCTTAAATAATGATAAAATGGGCTTTGATATGTTATTTTTATATGATTTATTTTAAACCTTAAATGAATCTAGGTGTCTCAATTTTAATTTAGTACTAAAATATTTTAAAAAATGAAACAATCTTTTAACAAAGTTTCTATTTATAATTGAGTATCAAAGTAGTGAGTTTTCATCTTAGATAAAAAGGCTGTAACATTTACATTATTTGAAAAAATTTTTTTTTTAATATACAGCTCCCTTTTTATAGGTTTTAATTTGTTCTTATTTTGTTTGTACACTGTAGTAATCGAGGGATAGTCTTGATTGCATTTTAAATATTATTTATAGCCCTATAAATTATATTTTTGTCTACTATTTTCAAAAATAAAATCCATCTTATATTTCAATGAATAAATTCGAAATTATTTTAGAAGTAAATATTATCTCATTTTTTACATTTTCTTTTTTATGTATGGAATATCTTAGATATTGTAATTTTTAATCCTGTAAATTTTTTTGGCACAAAATTTTTATGTGAATTTTTAAATTTGTAAAAATATTTATATATTAACACATAACTGCTAGCTAACATAATAAATGCCTAATTATTAATTATTTCTAACCTTACTAATATTTTGATTGACCAATGTAAAAGAAAATTAGTAATTTTTATTTTAACACTCATTATAAATACTCTTATATAAGCAAAAATATTCATTTACATAATTATTAGTTTGTAAGTATCACCTTCATTATCGTGACAGGTTTAAAGGTCATATACTGTTAGAATTTTTTTCCCCAAGTTTTGTTAGTGAAAATGTTTCATACAGTAGAGCTCTCAGATATGTGGCTTATTTTTATTATTTAATAAATAAGCCTAATTTGAAACTTAAAATAATAGTAAATTGTTAGAGTTTCAGTTTGTGCAATTTATATGTTTTTGACTTTATAGAAGTGATGATTAATGACTAAATGACTGAAATTGAATGCTAAAGAAACAAATATTTTAATATATATTGTAACTTCTGAGTGAAATCTCATTTTACTTTTTTTTGTCCTTTTTCCTATGGTATGTTCTAGCAAATATATATCAATAAATTCTTTTTGTATGCTTTTCCCCTCTTGCTTAAATTAAGTAAAAGTTCATGTGTAATGATCTAGTTATTTAAAAGAGTTTTTATCTACAATTTTGTTTCATAGGAAGATGAAGACCTCTTAAGAAGTAGTGTTCCTGAATCAAACCGTCTGCATTTAGCATTGCAGCTACGTTTGAGTGAGAAAAGAATTCTTTCAGATGCATATAAATACTGTGAAGAAAATACTTTGTAATGATAATGAAACTCATTTTCTGCTAAGATGAATGTGCATTTATTTAACTTATTTTAGATTTCTGTATTTAATAATTAATCTTACTGCAGTTTTATTTGTTAGAGGAATTTTCAAATGTGATATTTTCTACTAACAATTGAGCTCTTTGGATGAAATGAATATTAGAGATCAACATTCTCTTTAATTCGCCACATCTTTTGTCATAATGATATTGTCATATATTTTAGCATATTTTAAAAATATGGTTCCAATCATTGTTTCCAAAACATTATTCTGAAGCTTGCCGATAGTTGTATATTAGTATACATAGCACTGCCTACATTTCACTCAAAACTTTCAATACTGGAGAAGAGGATAAGTAATCACCTTCTAATTGCTTTGTGCAATCATATTAAAATATTAAAAAGTACTAGAAAGATGTATGGTTAGCTTTATTTGTTTAATTAGTGGCCATTATTTAAATTCATGCATAATATTTAATGAAACATGAATTCTTTGTGTTGAATAATTTTATATTTAATTAATTTATGTTATATATTCAAATTATGTGCAAAATAGGCCTCAATATTAAGTATTTTGTTTTTTAAAAATTTAAGGTCTTCTCAAACAAGTAGTTGAAACATTACTTCACAGATCATTTATACTTGCATTGTTATACAAATTATATTATTTAATATTACCTAAAAACAAATGTTCTGTTTAAGAGCATTAAAACATCATGTCTACTATTAAGTGATAAATTTTGCATTTTTATGGAATAAGACCTTATACTCTTGCACTTGCATAAGATCATTCATCTATTGCCAGGATGTGAAATATATGATCTGTGCTTGGAGACTTATGTTGCAAGCCTTATATGTAGGCAGTTGAATAAAAGTTTTCACATGAGTATCTAAATTTAGGATATTTTGCCTAGTTACATTTTTATGAGGTGTTTTATCTTATGAGTGATGAAATGTAATCTCGATCAACCCAATTTTAAAACACATACTTAATAGTGTTGTGATACCTGAACATAAATGTAAAAGGCTAAATTTGTATTAAGTAATGGATACAGAAGAATTCGACACAAACAAAAACATTTACTGAAACTTATTGAAAATACAAACAATAAATCATAAATGTGCACATAATTTGTGCTTTGAAGTACACCTAAATGAATTTCGTAGTTCTTGAACCTTTTACATGAATAAAACAAATGTACTTGTTTGTGTGCTGCTTCCTTGCCATGCACATTTGATGGTAACAACTTCCCCCCTTTTTTCATTTGAGTAACAATTTTTTATGCCATGACTTTTATTGACCATTATTTTATTTATTTATTTGCTTCACCTTTCCATAGGGCTGCAGCACATTTAATTTTAAAAAGTAAGCGCTGATTAGCTCATAAGAAGAAATCTTTTCCGTTGTACTGTTCTGTTTTTTAATTCTTTTATTTAAATATGAATATTCAACTAATTGGCCAATAGCTGCACTGTGACAGTTCTATTGCCTGCATAATTTTATTGCATTCTACATGGAATTTCAGCATTTATCTGTATACAGGAGAACTGTGTTAAGAAGTTTTTAAAGAGTCCAGCACTTCTTAAATGCAAAGGTTTATTAAGAGGCGGGAATATATTAAAAGACAATAGATTAACTGGAGAATAACTTAAAAACACACAAAAGGCAACCTGAAATTTTCACTCTGGTCTGTAACATACTTATTAGGTGGTAAGTCTGTGTTTTAGGATCTTATATATAAACTGCAATTCCAGCAATTTTCTGGCATGTAAAATTCTATTATTAGCCGTGTATATATATTGAAGTACACATTAATGCATGTTCCATTTATGATTTTGTTGGTTAGTTAACTGATGTAATCAGCATGTTACTGTTCAAGGCTTATAGCCTATGTCAAATTTGCTCAACTTTTCGATGAGTGACAATTTTTTATGCAAGATTTTATGATTTATAAGCATACAGGAAAATATAAAATAATTATGTATTAGATGAATAGTTTGTATTGAGTCAAAAACCTGCTGCAAACAGTTTGCAGTACTAGCAACTGAAAATTGCATAAAATCTTCTAAATCTTTTATTTTTCTGTAACATGCATAGAGATTATTTGCATCAGAGTATATTTCAGTAGCTTTAGCAATCATATTGTGAGAGATTGGTCAGTTGATTGAAATGTAACAGATTTTTTTTTAATCATTAACAAAAAATAAAATTCTTAAAATAATTTCTATATGCACTAAAACTCATTAAATTAGTAAAATTTCATAAAATGCATTTTCTTGGTATCATGGCATTAGGTATGTGTATACAATAAATTTAATAAACTGGAACTCCAAATCTGCAAAATGTTTGCATCTGTCTTTTGAAATTTTATTTTGGGATCTTGGAAAATTAAAGAGAGAGAGGTAAAAAGTAGAGCTTCTTAGAGGTAAAAGCGTCTTATATACAAGTAGTAACTTCTTGTATGTGTATCTGTCTATTTTTATACACGCAGGTACATCTATAAATTTTTATAAGTGTGTACTTGATATTTATGAAGAACAGAAACAAAGCTAAACAGTCTGTAGAACAATTTTAAAAGTTATTCTTCATCTGTTAAGTATTGGTATTATTGTTAATACCCCAATATATGATCAATACATAACATATTCAAAAGATTAGCAATCTGATAACAGATGTGTGTGTGATTATGGCAAAGCCTCGAGGGCTATCTGCCTAAGGGGAGGATGCCTTCGTGGAGGACTTTCTAAGGGAAACTGGCTCGTATACCGTTCACTGGCGAAGACACGAAGAGCACCTGCACGATGCTGCAAAATCATTCTGTTTGATAACGATTAAAAATGTATTGATGATTATATTATAACTAACAAATGAAGAGAGCTTAATAATTTGTAATTATAAACAGTCAAAATCGTTAACGACTCTCGGGACTCGTCATTCGGCTTATCTATTTTTCCGGATTAGATCATCATTTAAATCTGATAAGATGGCATCAAAATACAAAATTAAAATATGCCGAATTTGGATACTACCACATTAGATTAAAGGGTATCAAAATTTACAAAAAAGCTTATCTTATTTGTTTACTTAATAAAACATTTCCTTCATGTAAGTTGCTTCGTTCATGTATAATACTTTTCTTTATTTAATAAAACAAAAATTTTGTTTAGGTCCAATTCCGTGTTCAAGTCTATAATTGCGGGTTGAGATACCGACTCATTGTCAATGCGAAATGTTTTCGTTTTCAATAACCTTGGGTATTTCTCACTATCGGAAGCGAATTATAATGACGAGGACTTGATTTAAATCATATCAAAGACGAATGCCCCTACATTAGTATGGAATTATAAACCAAATAAAAAAAACATTGCCCTGAAGATATGTTAGTGCTGAGAGATGAACTTCCATCCGCCGCGTGAAATTGATAAACAATTTCGGATTCAAAACATCTTTCGCTTTGTAGATACAAATTACATAGTAGTAAATATATCGGAAATTCTATTTGACAATCTTTCTAATCTCATAATCTAATAATGACGTTTCTGCCCCCCCCACTCTGCCGCCCAGCAGCGTGAAAATGATAAACAGAGTTCGGATTCAACATACTTTCGCTTGTAGTTGATATATATCGGAAATTATTTGACATAATCGAAATTTCAAGCTTACTTTTATAAAATTGCTAACAGTGGCAAAAATAATAAGCGGACCAATTCGAAGATTAAGGAACACGCAATGGCAACATTAATGGAATTAGTAACTTTAGCTTAGCGGGACAATTTAAACGCGCATGCGCACAAACATATTCGCAGCTGTAAGGTCTACGCGCTCTCGTAAACGCCTGTGCGATGCGTGAGAACTCATGCGCGAAAAGTTGTAGCTTTGAGGTCGGATATGATCATTCGGCTTATGGTGTCGAATTAACGACTTTTGACTGTAGTATAATTTTGTAAGTGTGCTTTTATTCTTTGAAAATTTTGTTGTGATATTTGTTTCTTATCTGTAATAATCTGTGGGTTATAAAATATCATAAATCTATGTTGTTGAATATTCTCCTTTGAACAATTTTTTGTGTGCTGTTTTGATTTAATGGCAAAAGTTTCAAAACTTCTTTTGTATCAAAGTGAATTTTTATTGTTGTGAATAAACTTCAATTTAAAATGCAAACTACATGTGCTAATGCATTTAATTATTCCTTTGCATTTTAATCATGTAAATACATTATTATTTTACTTTAGTTAAACAGTTAGTATTAAAAAGTAAATATCTGGTTGTAGCGAAAGTTTTCCGCTAAAAACGTTTTTAATAAAGTTATGGGGAAAATTATTAAAGCAGTACCTTTTAGTGGCAGTAGTAATCATCCAAATTTATGATTTTCTGTCAACGTTTTGGTTTTTCAAAGCTTTCGACCCAGAAACTTGGTAGCCGCGAGTCCAAAAACAGATCAATCTCATTTCGGACATCCTGTGCAGAATGGAAGGCAGCACCAGCAAGCTGTAGTTGCTGGTGGGAAAAAAGTTAGAAGTTTGAAGGCGCGATGTCGAGTCTATGTGGTGGGTGTAGCGAAAGATCCCCTTCAAGTCTGTACAGAGTCCAGCCAATGAATGCAGACACATGTGGTCTTGTATTATCTTAATGGAACATTACCTTTTTCTCATCAGAACTCAATTCAATGTTTTTGCTTGATAGCAGTGTCAACACAGACTAGCATTTTGCTGTACACCTTACCTGTTGAGGGTTTTACCTTTTCCCAGATACTCTTTGCGGTTAATATCACTGCAATCCCACCAGATAGAAAGCATGATTTTTTTTGTTAGTCAAATTGCACTTTGCGACGCTGCTGACGGGCTCACCAGCTGCTGACTAACTCTTGTTTCAGCCTATGTTGTTGAATTAGATCCACTTTTCATCACAAGTGATGATCTGGTCCAGAATTTTGTCCTTGCGTTGATATTCGAGCAGATTAGTTCAGACCTGAACATGTTTGTTCTTATCTACTTGAGTCAGCTCATGCGGCACCCAGCAGTTGAACTTGTACATTAAATTTATACGATGCATAGTGCAAGCTAATGGGCATGACACCAACATCTAACTCCTCAGCAAACTCTCGAATGGTTGCATATTGATTATCTTCCACGAGTTCTCGGAGGTGGGCCTCAGCAACATCAGTAGCCCAGACAGGGCACTCTGCTTCTTGAACATCATAGTCCTTGTTTTTAAACTTTTAGTACTAAACCTTTAGTGTCATATGATATAACATTAGTACCTAAAGCTGCACACATGATTTGGTGACACTCTGTAGCTGAAGTTTCGCAACAGAACTGCAAGTAAATGATGGTTCTAATCTGATAGTGTGATAGTTCCATTACAGACACCTTGTACGTAATGATAACAAAATTTTTTTACAAATTTCACAACACAGTGTTACAACAACTGTTTGCCCAGATGATATTTGTGGTGGCGAGAAACTTTTTGTTAAAACCCAATATATATATATATATATATATACGCACACACACATAATAACTGCATAGAGTATTATGTATAAGCATATGCAGTTAAATTACTGTTTACACATGAAAAAATGCACCAAAAATTACTTTTATTGAGAGCACCATGAATATTTTTATCACAAGTATTGGAAGATATAAAAAGTACATGATTAATAAATAAACTGAATTATTTATTGGTAGACAATTATATTAAGTATTTACAATGACAATATTTTAGGTTCATAAATAAAGCAGCTGTCATATATTTCATGTAAAAGTTACAAACTTTTCACTCATAATGGGAATAATCTAATTATGCATATGTAATAACTACAAGATATTGGAGGTTTAAGGATAGCGAATCTTATTCACATAAAGATCCTTATTCTATATCTAACAACTTCTCTGCTTCATTTATAAAGTGAATATATTTTAATATTATTTTCCTATGAATTAAAAGAAAAGTATTTCATATCTGTCCTAATTTGGTTTTGTGTAATCTCTTTGGCTTAAGAGTTACTGAGAAAGTAAAGTTTAAAATACATTGTGTTGAAGGTGCTAATGGACTTAATATAATAATTGCTTTAAAAATTGGATATCCTTATTAGCTTCAATGAAAATATGATATTTTCATAGAAATTTAATTTTCATCTGTTACGTAAAATCCTAAAAGCAGCTGCAGACAAATACTGCATTGATATTTTCATTGATAAATGGACTAACAGGTGAATAACTTATTTTGCTGTGTTTATCCCGTCTCAAAATTTTTTCCGATGCTATCACAAGCTGGATTGTTTGAAGTTCCAAGAACTTCTCATTGCAGACCAAAAAACACTTGACATTAAAAACACAGTAAGACCCCGCTTAACGCGGGAGATATGTTCCATCAAAGTAGAGCGTAATGCGAAATAGCACTAAATGAGGCTATCTTAACATGTAAGATAATGGGGTTAGGGGAAGATGGATAGAAAATTGGTTAGGTATTAAATTTAATAATGTTTTTTTAATAAAAGTAAAACCAAACATTTATTTCTTCCAACAAAAAACAATATACACGAATAGACTTATAAACAATTAAAATTCCAGTCAGTCAGATCATCAGTCTATTCTGTGCTTCCCCATTTTCTGCCTTTTTGTCAAGAAGGCATTTTGATCGATTGACTTAATGGCATGTTGCATTCAATTTTGTCATCAATCCATATAGACAGTCATTTTTCCATTCCTCTATAATGTTATTTCTAGACGGGGATTTGTTGCAGAGCTTGACGTAGTTGCAGGTTGCGAGACAGTATTTTTCTTATATTCTTAAAATTGTCCTATATGTTGAAGTTGCCCAACAATGCAGCACTAATTTGAGTTGACGTGCCCAGAATTAAGTTCTTATCACTGCATTTTAGTTTCCAGTGAATACTTTTTGGAGCTTCTTTTTTTATATCACCCTGATAAAAACTAAAGATCATAATATTTGTCACTGTATTAATCGTAAGTATTATATAATTATACTTCCAATAATGTCGCAAATGTTTCAAATAATAAAAATACGTCCGTACAGCACCGCCAAACAGAAACACACTACCTGTTTCGGATAGTTATTTGGAAATCTATGCTGCGCAAATTTCGGGGATCCTCGTAGTGCTGCGAGCAATTTCGGGGAATCCCCGGGTTGAAATAAAAGAGCGCTAACCTGAAACAGCGTTAGCGAAGTCTCTGTATACCCAGACTCGGATCAAGCGTTTGAATTATTAATATGGAATCATTGTAGTGACCTTTTAGTGAAATTTTTGTATTAATCTTTGGTGGTTTCTCCAAATTGATATTGGTTTTAAAGTAACCTAAATCCTTTCATAAACGTATAAACTGGTTGATTTTAATTGATTCACTTTTTTATTGAGTTTTCAAGATGTAATTGGTTTTTTACATTATTTGCTGTCTGTGTTAGTACAATGATAGTTACAATGATTACAAATCTGTAAATAAGTATTAAAAGTTTTATTCTCTACTTTATCTTAATTTAGTTTTATTGCATAAAAATTACTTTCAAGGTCTGTTTTGGAGCTTACATGAAGTTATTTTAGTGAGAAATTTTTCTGATACTCTTCAAATATTGCAGGTCAAATTAAACGTAATTATTAAAGCAGATGTTAAGAATTTTAGATAAATTTTAAGTTTGCAGACTTTAATGCATGGATTTCGGAGGTAACAAATGCCTGGAGGTAAAAAATTCTAGAAGTAAGGATGCATAATTTCTTTATTTTATTTATCTTTTCCCAATTTCTGTGCAGGCTTAAAGCATGTGTTAGTTGTTATGTTAACCTTTCTAGCTTGTAATGATCAAATCAGCCTTATTTCTAGATTTCTTTTTAAGGTATCTCGTTGCTTTCATTTAGATGTGATAGTTTAGTGAATTTTGATATTTTAGAGGTTTTAACAAATTTGTGCACCCAAAAAAGTGCATTGATCTGATCATCTAATCGACTAAAACATTAAAAGGGAAAATCACAACAAAGTTTTTTTTTTTTTTCATTTTAGAAATTGCAATGAAATATGTACTCATTTTATAATGTCGATAATCAGTGCAATGATTTCATTTCCTCTATCTAGACTAGAGGCTTTTCTAATTCGTAAAAAGTTTTATCTTAAAGAAAGAATAATTCTTAAGAAAGAGTAGTAACTATCCAAATTTAGTGTTGATAATAAACTCATTATTTTTTTAATCGCAAACTCTCAGTGTGTCTACTTCTGCTAATGTGGCAGACGTCTGTGTTTCACTGGGAAGATTTACTTAGACATATTCGAAAGCTGCCTGATGCCATAATTGAATGAAAATAATGATAATTATATCCTTCAATTAGAAAGCTATGCAGCTTATTATCACAGAGATCATTACCAAAATAACTGAAAATTTGCCACGAAACTCCTATAGCCTGTTACTTGACTTTGGAACAGGTAGTTCAAGACCATTCTTTTTCCCAAATCATGGGTCAATGATTGTTGCAGGAAAATGGTCGAATCCTCTACTTTGCGAAAATCCCCTAATTCTGTGCGGTGATGATGACACTTACGATCGAAAATTGGGACCGTGTCCCCACGATCTTGAGATGCCTAATTTAAAGTAAGAAAGCTATAGATAGGACATAGGAATGACGCGTTTTTGCGTCAGCTTATAAGGCATCCCCTCCTTACAGCCTCAGTTGATACTCGGCGAATTCGAGAGTCATGTTTGGTCCCGGCGAAGCATTGTTTATTTTTCATGTACTCTTGTTCCAAAAAATTCTAATGACTCTACAGTGGCACCCGAACTAAGGAGTGGTGGATAATGATTCTCCACCACCAGAATTTGGGGGCTGGGTCCTAATCCTCAGTCGCCTTTAAAAGTTAGTTTTTAGGACTCATTTTTCAAGAAATCTTCCAGATTTTTTAGGGTATAAAAGGAATTGTTTGAAAATTCTTGTTATTTTTTTCGTATGCTAATCCTTATTCTATATTAGTTTTAAATTTTTACCTTGAAATCTTGCCAGAAATGAAACGGCAAACCCTAGGTGTGCCCAGACTGGGCTCACCGATAATCTAGGACAACTGAGAGTCTGTATTTTTTGTTTCTTCGTATCTCATCGGTCAGTTCATTGACAACAGTGCTCGTTTCAGCACTCTTTTTCGAAACTGTATTCAATCAGTGTGCCACTTTGGGCACACGCATAGAATTAAAACGATAAGTGCTATCTTTACAAAATTTTACTTGTGTGCTCCTTCTAGGCCTAATTAGACTGCCTAACTTTTTTTTTTTTTTTTTTTTAATCAAAACTCCGACTTTAAAAGGTAGCGTGCTGGAAAGGGTTAACCCACACCAACAACAGCAGTTTCTCAACATCTTCTAAGAGTTTTGGACGGGGCTTGGATGTAACGGTAACTCATTTGGCCACATCAAGTTTCTTAATTTCTTCCTTCTTCAGAATAGTGCAGATCGCCGAAGTCAAGCGGTCTAAGTCCTTGCCAATACCATCACGTCACTCTTACAGCACACTTATGTTTCTGTATGATTGCTTTTCTGATTTTCAACGGCCATGGCTTCCTTCTTTTTCTCTGCAGCTTCTTGGGAGACATCGCGAAATAATTGTTTTTATGTTAAATGTAAAAAAGCAATTAACTCATAAGCGCACAAACTCGTAGATCAGAGAACACTGAGTGATCGAACTGATGAGGGGATTCTCCGAGTCGACAGGCAGATCGGGAAACGCGGCCATGCATCCAACAATACTCGTTACTCGAGTCAATGCTCGTATTTAGAGACGATTCCTCGTATCTCGAATTTCTTATATGTAGAGTTACTCGTATCTTGAAGTTCCACTATATATCTATACATAGTTTTGCACAAGTAGATATTTACAAATTCTGATGTCATGTATATTTATGGATTTGGTTGGCGTGACGGTAAATAATTTGCCACAGCTAATGTGTCAGTTCCCTAACGTTGGATCACGACATCGAAGCTTAGCTTCTTGAATCTCCAAAAAACAAATACTATGTGCAGAGTAAAAGGTTATTAAAATGTACGTCAGGAAATATATATTGTTAACTTTTGGTTTGTTCCATCTTATAGGGACTTTTCAAAATCCTCCATGCCCACGCGTCGTTCGCATGCATGCCTGAGAAAATTCTACGCAAGTGTCACCAGTACTAAGACATTCACATATTTTGACTAGTTAAAGTACTTGTTTAT